AAGGAAATATACCGAAGGGAATAAAGTAATAACGATAAAACTAAAAAATAAATTACATGCGGGAATTTCTTTTTATTTCTTGCAAATTAAGAAGGAAAGGTTTCTAATAACATATGCCATAACGCATCATTAAAGTTGTGGATAAAAATTGACGAATACACCTGACACAGGTGTAAATTTATCTGTTCCAGTGGAATTTTTTTTCTTTCTTTTTTTTTCTTTTTCATGTCTTTTTTATTTAGGAATAAAAGGTGATAAAGTGTAGTCGCGTGGTGATTTTAAGGTACACTAACTCCTTGTAAAATTTATACGTATATAACGAAGATCGTAGAGACTTCTGCAAAGGGGCGTGTCTCGAAGGGAGATCCGGTTTGTAATTAATAGGCCAGCCAAAGTCGAAACCACCTTCTAACCACGAATGAAGGGCCAGGTGTTGGGATAATTATGCAGAAAATGTCGGGACAATGCCTCAACTATTATATTGACCAAAAACTTCTAAATTGCAATCTCAATGAACAAAGTTTCATGTAAAAAAAAATATTCTGATATTATTTTAATTCGAAAAGAGAAGCAAAAAGATTTTTTCCCTTCATTTTTTTAAATTTGGTTTTTAATTTCTAATTTTTCTGAAAAAAATAGAGAAAATAAAAAAATAGCGAAAAAAAGTTACAATATAATAATTATGCTAATCGTATAATATTTTCGATTAGGAAAAAGATTATTTGGCTAGATAAAAATTTTTATTTTTGAAAGAGAATAATTTTTTTTTCTCTTTACGGTGGAAAAAATATGGGGGAAAAATTATCAGGATGCAATATTTTAAGTAGTATGAGTAATTTCAGTCAGACTTGTGTGGAATGAGGGGAGAGATAGTGATGACAGCCATCACTGGGTTTGAAAAAAATCGAGATTACAAAATTCGATATTTTTTTCTCTTCTTTATAATTTTTACAGTTATTTTGCTAATTTACTTCAAAATATACATTTTTTTCAGTTTTTTTTTGCATTATTTTTAGAATTAATATTTTTACTACTGATATTATTACTATTTATTGTTTAAATAATTTACTAATATTACTATTACTAATATTACTAATTTACTATTTATTACTATTCTGTTGATTTATTTTTTCATGTTATTCAAAATTTGAAATTGGCGCCAAATTAATTCTGTAAATTTCCGCCTAGAGGGCATGAAAATTCTCTCACAAATAAGATTAATTTAAATTCTATGTTGTAAATAATTTAATTGTTTACAACAATTAAACAATTGTTTTTATTATTTTTTATATTTTTTCAAATTGAATAGAAAAAAAGAATAAAAAAAGGATTGAAGTAAAATAAATAAAGATAATAAATTAAAACTGTTATTGGTAATTATTATTATTGTTTTACTTATAAACTTATTTTTATTATTTTATTATAAATTAATCTCCGGTATATTATTTAAAGATTTATTTTAAAATATAAATACAAATAATAGCGATACAATTAAATACAATATTTCAGTGATTTTTTTTTTATTTCTTCGTGGATGGAAATTTTGTGGTCGGTGGAAACCAGTTTTCGATTTAATACATAGCTGCGAGGCAAGTGAAGTAGCACAAGGTGTAATTTGCCTCAAAGCTGGGATATATTTTTTTTCTAGACATTTTCAGTGTGTTTCTTCTTTTTTTTTCCTGTGACCTTAAGGGTTTTTAATACTACAGAGAACTGGTGATTACAAAACTGTACTAACCGCTGCTATATAATTATAAACACTATATATCGTTGCTCCCTGTGACAGAAGAACCTTTTTAAAAAAAAACTCAAAAAGGAACGAACAAAAGTATTTAATTTGACCTAATTTCATAACTAATTTTTTTACTTTTTGGTTCATATTTTTTTTCTTGCAGGAAATTTCAATGAAAAATATACTTTTAGTATTTATTACTTAAGAAAAATATTTACAAGTAATAATTTTTTATTATTTGTAAATTTTTTACATTTATACATTTATTTTATATCTTTTATTTCTTTTATTTTTCTTATTTTCTTTTATCTTTCTTTCCTTATTCTTTTTTTGAGGGAAAAATAACAATATTCTGGGTAAATTGAATCAGGTAAAAAATATTCTAAACCTTTTTTTCTATTCTTATGAAAATAAAATTTTTTTCCCCAAAGTTTGGGATGAAAAAAATTTATGTGCTAACGAGGACAATGATGAGCCTACTTAATGTATTTTTTTTTTATTCTTGCTTCTTTTTTGGGGTAAATTTCTTTTCTTCATGAAAAAGACATTTCTTTTAGTCTTACAGCAAGAGCGAAAGTAGCAAGATCTCTTTGACGTTTATACGTTTCATGACCTGTACGAGGAGGATTCTTAAGTCTCAAAGAAAAATACGAATTCCAACCTTTCTCCCTCTCTTTCCATAACCCACAGAAAAGAAAAAGAAAACCAGAAGAACTTCCTCAGAAATAAGCGCAAAATCTTCTTATGTATTTGATATTTTTGCAAATAGAAAAACGTGGAAGGAAATCCAAATTTTCCTCTTTTTAAACGAAAACTTGTTTTCTTAATTTTTTCCTTTCTTTTGCATTTTTTTAAAGAAATTTTTCTCTATTTTTTAAATTTATTTATTATCAGGTATTATTTAATAATTTAAAAAAGTTTTTTTTTAAAGTCTTCTTTTAATTATTAATTTTAACGCAATTTTTAAGAGAAAAATATTATTTTCACAGTATATGTAAATTTAAATGTTTCGATATTAGAAGAATAAAAATTTTTAATTACTGTTTTTCCTGAAAAAAATTTTTTATGTGAATAATAAAATTTTTCAGGAGATTATAGAAACAACGTTATTATAACAACAAGGTGGATATAAACATTTATAGCGAACAATGGATTTGGGAGAGTAAATAAATTCTGATTTAGAGAGGGGAAAATATTCATACACATAACGAGCCAGTTATAAGCTTTATGACTCCATTGATATATATGTTATATTCTCTATGCAAAGTGTACATAAAATCAGGACTTATTTTAATAGCAACATTAAATCAAATTCAAATAACGATTTTCCTTTCCATTTGCTTATTTCTGTCGATTTAATGAACCATTCTGTTTTTTATTATTATTATTTTACTCTTTTTATTATTTATTTTATTTGATATTTAATTTATTGGACATTTATTTATTTTTTCATTCTTAATTTTTTAATTCTCTTTACTTTTTATTTTTCAGCTTGATTATTATTTTCTACTTATTTATTTTTCTATTTCTTTATTTTTCTATTTGTCCCTTTATTTATTTTTTATTCTTTTTTCATTTTTTAATGTTTTTTCTTTTTTTTTCTTTTAATTTTTCTTTTTGTCCCTTCTTCTGTATTTCATTTCTCTTTCATTTTTTAATCATTTTTATTTATTTATATTTTATCTATTTGTTTATTTTTCGATTTTTTTTATTCTTCTCTTTGTCCCTTTCTCTATCTTTTTATTTTTGTATTTATTACTTTTTCTATTTCTCCTTTTGATAATTTTTCAATTTTTTTATCTTTCTATTTCTTATTTCTGTCATTTTTTTATTTTTCTATGTAATATCTTTCTATTTTCTTATTATTCTATTTTCGTATTTTCTACTTTCTTATTTTTCATTTTTTTAATTGAATAATAATAAAATTTATTTTTCGTCAATTTTTATTTCAATTCTTTTTCTAGTTTTATTAGAAATTCAAAATTGGCGCTAATTTAATTCTCCGAACATCCGCCTAGAGGGCATGAAAATTCTCTCGCTATTGAGATGAAGTCCAAGGGAGTATAACTAGCAATGAAAAAAATTGTTTTTCGAAATAGTTTTAAACAAATTTATTAATAATTCAATAAAAAAATTAAATAAACAAGAAATTAAAGGTAACTTAAAATTTTTTGATCTAAAAATAAAAATTTATTTTTGTTGTCAATTAAAATCGGTGAAAATTAAATTTGAAGTGATTTGGGCGCACTTTGAAAGGGCAAAAGAGAGATGAGAGGAAAATTTAATGAAAAAAATGTTGAGTAAGGTAAAATGAAGAGAAAGAGAAAGAGAGAGAGAGAGGAAGGGAAAGAGAAAAAGCGAATCAGAATTTCTGATCGTGGTGACTTTCTTCGCTCGCTTTCATCCTTACATCCCAAGGGTATTTCAAGTGGACGAAGCTTCATCCTTTCCAAAGGATCTATTCGAAAAGGGAACCGACAAGTAAACATTTAATGAAACCGGTCCGTTGGAGAGAAAATACATTACATCAGTCTTGTTTCACCTATAGCTATAAAAACAGATCCTTTTTTTGCCCTCCATCTCTTTCTCTCTCTCTCTCTCTCTCACTTTTTTTCTTTCACTCTTTATACAATTTATCCTCAATTTGCTCGAGTTTATATAAAATTATACAATTTAAATAAAAAAACAAAATTTTATTCTTTTTTCTTTTTCTATTCTTTTCTTTCTTTTCCATTTGTTACTTTATTTATTCTCAATTTACATTAGTTGATACAAAATGGTACAATTTAAATAAAAGGACAACTTTATTAGCTTTTTTATTTCTTTTTCTTTATTTATTTACTAATAACAAAATTAAATTAACAAGAAATTAGAAATAAATTAAAATTTTAACGATTATTTCTAATCAAAGAAATATTTTCATAATTTTAATATTAAAAACATTTTTTTTTCTGTGAGAAACAAAAAATTTTAATATTGACGAAATTGAGTGTATTTCTTTACAGATCGTCGCACAATTCGTGGATATTTCTCGCCTCAAATTTTTATAGAAGAAAACAATTTTAATTGTCTGCATTTTTTGAAATGCAGACAATTAAAATTGTTTTGTTCTATAAAAATAATGATTGCTAAAAAAACTGAAAATTCAATTAAATTGAAACTAAATAAAATTAAATCTAAATAGAATTAAAACTAAAATTTTAAAAATTGAAAAATTAATAAATTTCAATTTGATTTTAAAGTTTCGACTATTTTTTTATTGTTGCAGAAGCGATATGGAGGACGGACCTCGATTGGGTGATGATTCATCACGATCGATTGGTATTACTTGGCTTTATGAATCCACCAAATAATATGAGTCAGATAACGCCGCAGCCTTACGTGACGTCGACACCATTTCGAAATTCCAATGAGGATCGTGAAAATAGTTCATCGACATTTCACGAGAGTACATGGGACTCGTTTAATGATGAAGTGGAAGAAAATACGAAGCAAACGACATTTTTACTGCCACACTGGACGTCGACATCGATTGGTGATAGAATTATTAATTTAACTACTGATCGAAGTAGTACATTAACGACGACGACGACGACAACAACAACAAATGTTGAAGGATCGTCGAGAAAATTTGGCGATAATGATGGAGAGATGACAACCACGTTTGGTTCGAAATTTCCGTCAAAAGTGCCAGTGACGACAATGACGTCGAGCACAACGAGAAAACCGACACAGAGAATTATTGCTAGAAGTAATTCGATGAAAAATCGTGCTAAGAAGCAGGGGAGCAAAATGGGAGGGAGGAATTTTCACGGGGGAAATATGACTGGACAGAGTCTTCCATTGACGTTCAATAGTTTGTCGGATTTGGATCATCCGGAGCATTTGAATTTGGAATTTAATCCTAGTAAGATATTTTCCCGAAGGGAATATTTAATATTTTTTTATTTTTTACCAAAACTGTATTTTATATTCTATTTTATTTTCTATTTTGCTTTTTAAAATACAATTCGGGGAAGAGTGGAAAATTCTTTGAGGAAATGGTACCAATATTGGGCCATTATTCCCCCAGGGTTGGAAATAGAAAAAAATTACTTCTCTAAGAAAAAGAAATTAATCACTATTTAACAATTAACTTTTCTTTGTTATTTCTTTCAGTTTATTTTCAACTAGCAAATTTTATTTGCTATTTATTTATAGTTATTTATGTATGCTATTTATTTATTTAATTATTTATTTATAGTTATTTCTCTTAACATATTATTCCATTTATTATTGTTATGCATATTACAAAATTTTTTATTTTTAAATATAAGTTTTAAAATAATTTTATTATGAAAATTTAAAAAATTCACTTATTAAGTACAAAATTAATTACTATTGTTTATATTTTCAAAAATTTTAATATAATGCTTCGCAAGAATTCAATTATTTTTATATTTAACATTCTTTAAAAGAATTCAATTATTTTTATAAATATTAAAATTTTATGCAGGAATTCAATTATTTTCAAAACAATTTTAATTGAATTCCTCAGCAAAATTTAAATATTTTCAAATATTGCCATAAAAATCAATTATTTTCTAAATTTTAATAAATTCTTCCAAACAATTCAACTATTTTTAATAAATACTAAAATTCTTTGCTAAAATTAAATTATTTTTAATCCAATTTAAATAAAATTGCACGAAAGAATTTAATTATTTTCAAAAATTTCCATAAAATTCAATTTCAACAAGAATTTAAAATTCTCTAAAAATAATTTATTTATTTTGAAAATATTTTTAAAAAATTATATCTCAAAATTAAATTCCTTGCAATGCAATTTTTAAATGTATTCGTCATAAAAATTAAAAGAATTTAATTAATTTTTGAAACAACTTTAATTGAATTTGTCAAAATAATTTAATTATTTTCACATATTTCTATAAAATTCTTCAAAACAATTCAATTTTTTCTAAAATTTTAATAAATTCTCCTCAATCATTTTGATTATTTTTATAAATAGTAAAATTCTTTGCAGATATTCAATTCTTTTCAAAACAATTTTAATAGAATTCCTCAAAAGAATTTAATTATTTTCAAATATTTATATAAAATTAATTTATTTCCTAAAATTTTAATAAATTGTTCGGAACAATTGAATTATTTTTATAAATTGTTAAATTTTTCGCAAGAATTAAATTATTTTTATGAATAGATAATAAAATTCTTCTCAGGAATTCAATTATTTTTAATACAATTTAAATGAAATTCTTCTCTATAAAATTCAATTTGGCTTATAAAACTTTTAATTAAAATTATTAAAAAAACTCCATTATTTTAAAAAAATTCAAAGACATTTCAAAAGAAAAATTTCAAAGAAAATCTTCAAATAAATTTAATTAAGATTTTAAAAATTTTTAATAAAATTAATAAAATAATAACATCGTATTTATTTTTCTCTTTTTTTAAATCTATTATTATTTACTAATAATTTTAATTTAGTTTTTATTAGTAATTAAATTATTAAGTTGACATTCATTATTTATTAGAATTAATTAAATAAGTTTTATTTTTAAAAACTTACGTAAAGAATATTTTTATTTTAATTCGACTTTTTGTTATTATTAATTTGAAATTCGCACCAATTTAATTCTCTAAACTTACACCTAGAGGGAATAAAAATTCTCTTACAAACAAAACAAATTTTTCTATTGAAAATAAATTTTCTAGTTTTCTACTTTTTATTATTTCTATTTTTTTTTTTTTTTTTGTTTAACTTTTTTACTTTTTCTAATTTAATAGCAAGAAAAAGATTCACATATTTTTCCTCTAACAATAATTGATTTAAAAAAAATTCTTTTTTATGAATTAAATTGTTAAATTATTGTAAATTATTCATTATAAATTAGTTTAATAAGTTTTATTTTTAGAAAACTTCTATAACGAATTTTTTTTTACTAAAGTTCGATTTCTTGTTTCATTATTAATTTAAATTTCGCGCCAAATTAATTCTATTAACTTTCGCCTAGAGGTCATGAAAATTCTCTCACAAGTAAGATTTAATTTTCTGTATTTTTATTTATTTCTTTAAATTTTTCTATATTTTCATTTAAATTGTAAAAAATAGATTTAAAGAATATAATAAAATGGTAGGTAAATCTTTACCAGTTTTCTTCATCTTTTGTCAAAAAAAGACAACAATCAAAATCCCTTGTTCGTCGGGACAAGGAAATATTAAGAGAAATGAATTTTCATTTTGTTTTCTGAATTGAGAAAATTTAAATTTGCTAAATCTTGTTCTTCAGACGAGGGTTATGGAAATATTACAATTACCCTGGAATATTTGAATTACGCGATGGCTCTTGGCGTTTACTCAGTGAGATATCCAGCTGTCTTCTGGTCCTGTAACAAAGCGCTTGGCACCATTTTCAGTCTACAGCTAGTTGTGAACTCCGCCCAGAGCTTATTGGCTTTTACAGGAATGTCCGTCCTTTACAAGGTAAATTTCAATTCTATTATTTTTTTTATCTTATTTTTCAATCATTTATCTTGAAATTTCCATGAAGTTATTTACATTTCTTTCTTCTTCTCATTATGTATTGTTAATTCCATTTTACTACAATTCTTAGTTTTTTAAGATTTTTTTTTTCTTTTTAATATAGAATCCTAATTTTTCCATATACGATTTTTTTTGTAATTTTTTTTGTTTTAATAAATTTTTATGGTCTTTTTTAACTTTTTTCAAAAAATTTTTCTTTGAATTTTAATTCTCGTTAATAAGAGACAAATTTTTTTTGCCATCTGTAGGAGGCGTCATTGAACTACTAAAATGGCGGGAAATTCAAATTTAGTAAACTCTGTTTTTTATTAAAATATCAAAATTCTACTAATTTTTTTTAAATATAAAAAGGGAAACTAAAATTTTTTTCTAAATTTTAAGAATAAAAGAAGAAAAAGTGTTTTTCGATTTTTTTTGTAAAATTGAAAGACGTAAAATGTAAACTACTAAAAGAACAATTTCTCTAGGACCTCATTGACGTAAATTCGAAATGGCAGGAGAATGGCCATGCCTCTGAAGCTTGTAACTTTTCGTAATTGGTCGTAAATTTCACTTGAACTTTAATTACACATAGATATATATATAGAGATAGACACGAAAGAGGCTCACATCAAGAGCAATGACGATTTTACGTCAGTATTTTGCTCCCCTTATAGCTACCTTGTTTATTTGATTACAAATTTTTTCTTTTAAATCTTTCTCACACAAAAAAGAAAATAAATCCTTTGTTTTTGTTTTTAGGTTCAGGTGGTCGGACCACTGAAGGTATTACCTTACCTTCGACATCGAGCCATTTCAACTGCCACAACAACGATTTCCAAACTTTTTGGTCACTCGTTTTTTCTCCTAAATCCTCACGCGACCCTAGGACTTTTTGCACTCTCATCTCTATTGGTACTTTGCTCCAGTATGGTGATGTATCTCTACGCCCACGGAAGGTAAACAGAAAAAAAATTACTCTTATTTTTTCCCTTTTTTGTATACTTTTTTGTTTTTTTACTTTTTTACTTTATTCGAAAGAAAACAATTTCATTTATTGTTTCTCTTTTCTTGTAATTTTATTTATTTATTTTTTGAAAGAAAATAATTTTATTGTGGAAAAAATGTTGAAATTTCGAATACAGTAGTATAAGTAAATTTAGGCCAGACTTAATGTTTATTAAATTTTTTAATTCAGTAGTACAAGTAGTTTCAGGTCAGACTTGGATTCTGTATAATAAAAAATCATTTCTATCATAGAGATTTAGTAAATCTTGTTCGACTTAATTTTCAGTAGTAATGATCAATTTTTAGTCAGACAAAACTTAAAAAACATTTTTAAATTTAATTCCAGTAGTGCCGGTCAGCTTTTCGTCAGACAAAACATATAAAAACATTTTCACATTTACTTTCAGTAGTAATGGTCAATTTTTAGTCAGATAACACATAAAAAAACATTTCTTTAGTATTATTTAGTATTATTGGTATTATTCAGTAGTAATGGTCAATATTTAGTCAGATAAACCGTAAAAAAATATTTTTAAACTTAATTTCAGTAGTAATGGTCAATGTTTAGTCAGAAAAAACTTGAAAAACATTTTCACATTCAGTTTCAGTAGTAGTTGTCAATTTTTAGTCAGACAAAACCTAAAAAAACATTTTTAAATGTAGTTTCAGTAGTAAAGGTCAATTTTTAGTCACACAAACCAAAAAACCTTTTAAAATTTAGTTTCAGTAGTAAGGGTCAATTTTAATAGAACAAAATGTTTCTCAATTCTTGTAAATATTCCAATACGAAAATATAAGTAGTAAAAAACTTTTTATTCAGACGAAGCTAGTGAATAATTAAAAAATTGATAATTACAACAAAAATAAATTTTGTTATTTTTACTTTATTTAAAAAAAAATTTATTATATAAAATTTTTAATATTTTATTTAATTTTCTCTAAAATTTTCAATATTTTATTTAATGTTCTTTAAAACTTTTAATATTTTATTTAATTTTTTCTAATTAATGTAATTTTTAAAAATTTTTACAAAAAAAAATCAATTACGAATAACTATTTTCCATTAAAATAAAGTTTTAATTTCTTCCAATCTACGAAGCAGAAAGATTGCTAAAAGTTGAAACTTAATTAATATAACTTGAAGTATAGAATCTGATTAATGAATCTCTTGAATATATAATAATTTTTGCAAAACTTTAAACTTCTGATCGTTTGCATTTAATATAAAATTCTGTTTTTATTTTCTTCTCCTTTTTCTGTCGTTCTCACGTGCATTTCTCCTACTATATATATATATATATATATATATATATACAGTTGATTATAAAGGGAAAGAAACTATATAAACGGTTGAAAGGTCGTCAAAGACGATGAATATACTAGAAAACGTTTTCGTTTTAACTTGCTAATTTCAGATCTTACCCAAGTCTCGTAAGATCTTGGAGAATTCAATTTCTTGGTGGCTGTCTTCCTTCGTTACGAGACCTTCCATCCACCACCCTCCCCCCACTCTCTATCCAACATTGCAATTTTCTTGATATAACAGCTCATAAACCGCTTTCTTCCGAAAGCAGCTTATGTGTAAGTTGCACTCTTGAGACCTTATAGAAAATATCCAAACCAAAGAGTGGAGATGAACAAAAAAGAGAAGAAGCACTTTTACTATAAACATGAATTGTCCTCTTAATAAGTTTTATTTTTTATTATATAAGCAAAAGATTTGAGTGATATTACCGTCTAGACTGAAATTTAAGTAGTAGAGGTCAATTTTAAGTCAGACAATGAAATAAATATTTTTAATTTGGTAGCAATAGAAAGACATAGTCAGGGTTGGACCACCTTTAAACTTTTTTTCAAAATAATTGTTGATGCTAGTGTTTGTATTTAAAAAATATTGGGGGTCCAACCCTGACAATGTGCCCCCAGAAGCAAAAAATTAAGATAATATTACGATTTAATTGAAATTTAAAGTAGTAGAGGTCAATTTTAGTCAGACATGAATAAATATGTTTTTTTTAATCTAGTGGCAGTAGTAAAACATAAGTTAAATCAGACAAGGAAATAAATATGGATTGTAAATCTAGTAGCAGTAGTAAAACATAATTTAAGTCAGACAAAGGAATTCTAGTTTCAGCAATAAAGCTTCATTTTTAGTTATACAAATTTTTAGTTTGAATGCTGCTTATTATATTTTCAGTAGTAAAGGTCAATTTTCGTTAGACAAAAAGGTAAAAACCTAATTTTTAATTTAAATTTCAGTAGTAAATATTGATTTTAGCCAGACAAGACGTAAAAATGTGTTCTAAACCTAGTTTCAGTAGTAAAACAAAATTTTAGTCAGACATAAATTTTTCTAATTTTTCTAATGGTAGTGAAAGGTAGGAAAATCAATTTTTTGTCAACAGAATATAGGTTTAAAATAATTTTCAGTAGTAAGCGTCAATTCTATTCAGAGAAAAATTTAAAACATTTCTAAAATCTTTATTTCAGTAGTAAAAACGATTTTAGTCAGACAAAACGGAACATTTTAATTTTTCAAATTATTGTAATTTTAAAGTGAATACTTTTGAGTAGTTAAGTACAACTTTAGTCAGACAAACTGTTAAAGATGTATTTCAACCTTTAATTTCAGTAGTAAGGGACAATATTAATCAGACAAAGGGATAAAAATTTAATTGTACTTTAATATTAGTAGTAAAAGTCAAAGTGTGTTAAAAATTGTATTTTAAATCTAGTGTCAGTAGTAAAACGTAATTTAAGTCAGACAAATGAATAAATATGTTTTTTTAAATCTAGTAACAGTAGTAAAACATAATTTAAGTCGGACAAGTGAATAAATGTTTCTTTAAATCTAGTAACAGTAGTAAAACATAATTTAAGTCAGACAAGAGAATAAATATGTATTTTAAGTCTAGTAACAGTAGTAAAAGATGAATAAAGTCAGGCAGAAAGGCAAAATTTGTTATTTATAATTTACATTTATAATTTATAATTATAATTTACTTACAATTATTATATAATATTAAAATATTTATTAAAATATTTTGGAATTTTTTCCCCACAGATTTATGGCGTTCTTGAATCAGGAACGAGAGAGACGAGTGATTATATTAAAGGAGGGACGTTATGGAAATGGCTGGGGCTATATAACACATTGTGCAGCGCTCTGCGTCTTTCTTGCGATTGCATTTTGCAGTGCTCCACTGCTATCGGACTTTGTTGTTGTGTATCGTGGTAGTTTAGATGGTGCAGTGTTAGTTTGCATAATTAGTACTGTTCTTCATCTCTTCCTGTGGTTAATATTGTGGATTTTTTTAATAATTAAGCAAAAGTGGATTTTTAAATTACGCGTTACAGTTGGTCGGGCAACGGTTAGATCGGCGCGATCCGTTAAATTGGTAACGGATGTTGATCTACTTTCGGCGAGAGACGAGGAGGATGGTACAACTGCTCCATTATTGGTGGTTGGTAATGGTCGAACTTATACCATTGCCGACACTTCGCCGAAAAAGGCAATTATGAGTGTTATACAGAAAGCTGCAATGGAACGAAAAGCTCGGGGTCAAGGTAATTTTCTTAATTTTTCTTTTATTGCAGCTTTTTTTCTCTTTTTGTGTGTAATTTAGTTTTTGTTTAATTAGATTTTTGTGGTTCTTTTTACTTTAAATGAAACTGAGTTAATATTAATGATTCAGTAGTAAAAAGTAATTTTTATCATACAGATTTTGTAAAACTTATTCGACTTACTTTTCAGTAGTAATGGTCAATTTTTAGTCAGAAAAAACCTACAAAAACATTTTTAAACTTAATTTCAGTAGTAATGGTCAACTTTTAGTCAGACACAATCTGAAAAATATTTTTAAATTTAGTTTCAGTAGTAATGGTCAATTTTTAGTCAAACAAAACCTAAAAAATATTTTTAAATTTAGTTTCAGTAGTAATGGTCAATTTTTAGTCAGACAAAACTTTAAAAAACATTTTTTAATTTAGTTTCAGTAGTAATGGTCAATTTTTAGTCAGACAAAACCTAAAAAATATTTTTAAATTTAGTTTCAGTAGTAATGGTCAATTTTTAGTCAGACAAAACTTTAAAAAACATTTTTTAATTTAGTTTCAGTAGTAATGGTAAATTTTTAGTCAGACAAAACCTACAAAAACATTTTCAGGGTTGCCACGCTTTTGCTTACTTCAAGTTCCCTGATTTTTCCAGGTTTTCTAGGTTAAAAAACGAAATTTTTCCAGGTTTTTGAAACTATATTTTACAAAATTGAATAATTAATAATTATAATTTTTTTATAAGAATTAAGATTTTTAAAAATTTCAAAGTAAAACCTTCTTGAAATTAAACAACTTATAAAAAAATATTATAAAACATGAAGAAATCAATCACTCCGAGTCTTCGACTCGGAGCAATCGATGTCTTCATGTTTTATAAATAATTAAAAATGATCGACTGATAAAATCATAATTTTATATGATAGGAATATTGTTACTGTAATTTATTCAAAATTACTTTCATCACTTTAATTCAATTATTGTTTTCTAGAATTTTTAACTGAAATTCTTCATTAAATTAATTATTTTTAATAATTTTTGAAAAATTTCTTTAAAAATTTTCAAATCCCTTTTTTTACTATTCAATTTTACAAAATTTCATCAATTATTTGAAAATTCTTCAATAAAATATATATTAGAAAATAAAAACTTTAAATAACTTAAAAAAAAGTTCCGATACACTTTTAAAAAAAAATTAAATCTACCCAATTTTCGTTTAAAACTAATGGAAAATTCAAAATTTCAAAACAATTTTCAAAGATTATAATTTGAAATCTTTTCAAAATTCAATTATTTCTAAAAATTGACGCTATAATACTTTCATTAATTCAATTTAGAAAAAAATTTTACTAATTCAAATTTAGAAAATTTAATATTTAATTATTATCTAAAATTTTAACTGAAATTCGTATTTAAAATTAATTTTTATTAGAAAATTCTACGAGAATGCAATAATTTAAATACAAAAATAAATAATTTATTGAAGAATTGAATGATTTTTAAAATTGAACTCTCAAAAAGAATTTTATAAACAAATTTTTAAATAGATAATTAAAATTCTTTTGACGAATTTAAATAATATTTTTAAGCAGTATTTCATTTTTCGAGAAATTAGATTGAAATTGTATTAAAAATAATTGAATCTCTGTAAAAAATTTGATTGAATTGAGAAATGTTTTTAAAAATAATTAAAATTTTGCCAAGAGTTCTATTAAAATGTTTGAAAATAATTGAATTTCTTTGATGAATTTTAATAAATTTTTTAAGAATAATTACATTTTTCGGGAAATTCCATTAAAATTGTATTAAAAATAATCGAAATTCTGCAATGAGTTTTATTATTTATGAAAATAATTGAAAAACTATAAAGTTTTTTATTATTTATGAAAACAATTGAATCTTTTTAAAAAATTTGATTATTTCTGAAAATAATTTAATTATTGCAAATAAATTTTTAACGAAATGGTAAATAATAGAATATCTGTAAAATTTTTATTATTAATGAAAATAATTGAATTTTTGCTTAGAATTTTATTCAAATTTTGTTTAATAATGAAATTCTTTTGGAAAATTGAAGTATTGCGAAGAAAAATTGTAAACGCAACTCTTTTAAAAATGAAATTAATTTTGAAATATTTAAGAAAAATTGGATTTCAAGAGTAAACACAATAACTTTAGAAAACAATAATTTTTTAGGATTCCGATAAATATTCCCTGACTTTTCCAGGTTTTTTTTAAGGTTTAGAAAATTCTCTGACATTTAAAGGTTTTCTAGGTTGCGTGGCAACCCTGAATTTTTTAAACTTAATTTCAGTAGTAATGATCAATTTTTAGTCAGACAAAATCTGAGAAACATTTTTACATTTAGTTTCAGTAGTAATGGTCAAGTTTTAGTTAGACAAAACCTAAAAAAACATTTTTAAATTTAGTTTCAGTAGAAATCGTCGACTTTAATAGAACAAAATGTTTATCAACTCCTGTAAATACTGCAATACTAAAATATAAGTAGTAACAACATTTTTTAGTCAGACGAAGCTATGGAATGATTAACAAATTAATTGCAAAATGAAATAAATTTTGGTCGTTTTACTTTTTTTTTTGCTTTATTCTGAAAGAAAACTTCTGTTACAAAAAAATTTTAATATTTCCTACCAGGTAACCTGAAGAAAAATTAAAAATAGATTTTTCCCCTTTTATATGATTAAAATTGAGCCCTACTACTGTTTTTGTCCCGAGTTTCAGTAGTAGAGAATATTTTTAGTCAGACATTCTTACAATTGCTTTAAAGAACAGTAGTAAGTGTAGAATTCAGTCAGACTCTTAGAATCACAAAAAAATAATAATTTCTTATGTAATGAGAATGTAATTACAGAATAATTTTTCAAGCAGAAAAAACAGAAAAATGAAGGAAAAGGAAAGAGAGAATAATAAATATTTAGAAATGAAAGAAAAATCTTTGTTTTCAGGACTAAATGGCGATTCAGTGGACGGTGAATCAGCGGCTGATGGTGCCGAGCAAATCTATTGGCTGCGGCCAAAATTTAGGCCCTCACCAACTCAATCGCCCAATGATGGAGTGACGGCAACAACTGGAGATAAGGGTTGGCTGAACAAGAAACTCAAGCCAAAAGTCACCTTTAACGACCTGCCTAGTACGTCAGGCTCGCGGTAACTACCCTTCCTCCCTCCTCTTGGTGTCTTTTGTGTCTGACCATTAGTTTGCTGGGTGTTCTTCCTTTTCATTTCGTTGCACCTTAATCACCACTCTCATCAACATTGACAGACAATTTCACCCAAAGGCGAAACACATTCTCTTTATGCTTGTTGTTTCCTCCTTGAGAAACTTCTCTATCTCGTCCTTTTACTTACTTTCTCTCAACTCATTTATATATATACAACAAGACACTCACACAGACGAAACTATTATATATCATTGTTCGATCTCATCCAATGACCATCGAGGCAAGAACTTCAATCCAAAGACCTCTTGAAGTTTTGAGTACGAGAACATTTTTATTTCTCTAATTTTATTTCTTTTTTTTTTTGGTGAAGACAATGAATTGTTTTTTAATTTTTAATTTTCACAGTGGAAAAAATTTATTTTATTTAAATAACCGATTTTTTTTTATAAACAAATGAATATTGATCGAAATAAATATTATTTGAATATAATAAATATTTACCTAAATCAAATAATTTTTATATCATTCAAATAAATTGTATTATTTAACAATAATTAAATTTAATCGATAATTTAATTATTTAGAACAAATACCACATTTTTTTAAATTATATTTCTTTCAATTTTTCGGTATTTCTTTTATTTTCTTTATTTTTTTTTTATTAACTATTTCATTATTATTTCTCGTTCTTATTTTTCACTAATTTCTTTATTGATACAAAATTAATTTTTTTGTAGGTATTTATTCATTTTTATTTATTTGTAAGATATAAAATCATTAGAAGTATAAATTTCTTAACTACTTTGGTAATATCAGTATTTGAAAATTCATAGAGGTAAATACTTCGAAATAGATGTTAGATCATGGTAGATTAGTAGGTATTGTTAGATTGTGTTGTTTAATTAATATTGCATTCTGAAATCCGTTGTTAACGCGATAAACACTGGCGATGCACCTCAGGGATTACTACGTAAGAATTTGTATTACTTAAAATTATTCATTTCTCTTAATTTCTTTCTTAAATCCTCGCTTGCCAAAAAGAACATCATCATTCATCAAAACCTTCAAAAATTAATTAACTTTTAAAAAAAAATGTCTAAAGTAATTATTTTTATTAAAATTAATTTAAAAAAAAAACTTCAAAAGTAACTATTTTTCATAAAATTAATTAACTTTAAAAAAAAATTCCAGTAGTAATTAACTGTAATAAAATTAATTAACTAAAAAAGAATTATGCAATGATATAAACTATTCAAAATCTATAAAAACGTTTTTCAAAAGATTTTATAAATATTTTTTATTTTCGAAACGGCTTTTTGAATTTTTTATTTAAAATTTTTTAAATAGATACCTATTTTTAATATTTTCTTATTATGCACTGAAAATTTCAATTTGCAAAAAAGATTAATTTTCAAAATCGAAATTTAGAGAAACAGAGAAAAAGCGAAGTTCTCCCTCTGGAAATTTTTTTTTCAATTGTTTAATTATAAAAATATTTTGCAAGACAAGAACTTCAAAAAAAGTAGTGTTAATCATTAAGTAAATTAAAAATGTTTTTATAGATATAAAATTCTCTTGTACACAGAAAAAATATTTTTTTTTCATAAAAACTGTTTTGCATGTATTTATTTAATTAGTTATCTAAAAAGTCTATGATTAATTTAATAATAATTACTCTAATAATAATTTATTTATTTGTAATTAATTTTAGTTTAAAAAACTTAATTCGACAATAATAAATTTGATAATAATTTTACGAAATGCCTTTTCCAGTCTATTTTTGTAAATAAATAAACTTTATTAAATTAATCATAACTCCTCGAAAATATTTTGCGTATTTTCCATCTAGTCGTAAATTCGTAGTTTTTTCAAAAACAACGTGTGTCAATATAATTTTAATTTTTGTATAAAATAGTTTTTATATTTATATTTAAGTTTAATTTATTGTTAGATTTACATAATCTTTTACTTATTGTTTTATTTTAGCTTTAACATCGTACATTGTATCTAGTTTCACAAGTTTTGTACTTTATTTCCTGAAATACATTATAATACTGCTTATTTTGCATTGAACCAACTAATATTTAATTTGTCCCATAACCCGGCCATCACTAATTTTATTTACTTTTTAAAATAGTAATTCTTCTTTATTCTTACTAATTTTATGAAATTTTCAATTAATTATATTCTACACTTTATCCTAGCATGCTAATTTCTTTTCAAATTCATTTACGCTTTATTTTCTCGTCGTAATTACTAAAGCACATTTATTTAAAAGTTTAAATTAAACAAAACTTTCAGTTCAAATTTAATAACGAATTCAAAAGTATTTTCTGTCATTATTTAATTCTTATTACTTGTTATTTATTGATTTCTAATTATTTTCTTTTATTTATTTAATAACTTTTTTTGTCATTTATTAATTAACTTATTTTATTGAGTTTTTGAATAATTTACTTATTATTTCATATTAGAAATTAACGGAAATTAAATTACTATTTTAATTATATATTATTTTCCTTATTGTTTATTGTTATTGATTAAATTTGATTCATTAATAATTAAGATCAATAATTAATAAACATAAAAATCTTTTTTTATCACTCCTTACGAAATAAATTTTTTTTCGTCAGAAATTATTGCACTTTTCAATCTTATTTCACATTTTTACGAATAAATCTACAAGTTTTTTCTTTCAGTTTTTAAAAAGAGAGCTAATTAATAAAGAAATTTTTAACCAATTAGCTATAGAGTAAAACATTATTTTGAATAAAATTTTATTTGTTCATTTCTTTTTATTTTATATTTATTCAGATTATTATTCGAGAAAATTTTTCTCAATTCCTTTTTTTATTAAAATTCTTTCAATGAGAAAAATAATCCCTATTTTTTAAAAATCAAAGTAAAGAAATAAAAAATTTTAAATGAAATTTAATCATAAAAAATGTGCAATTAAATTAAGTACAAGATGCAAAGGAGAATTTCAATATATATTACTATCGATGAGGTAATTTGAAGATTAAAGGGCTCTCCCTTCTTTTTTATGTGCATACACAATCTTCAATTTGAAAAGAAAGTGAAATGGAAAAAATTATATTGAAAAAAAAAAATCTTGGCTCTTTTTTTCTCTGCAATCACGTCAATAATTTTATTTTTAAATTTTTTTTTTTAGTTTTGTTTGAACCATAAGAAATGCTTTCATCTCGCCTGTTCCTTTAATATAAGTTTTGCATCGTGTGTATTTATTGATACACGCAAAGAAAAAAATAAACTAAAACATCTTAACCTCGAGTATCTTTGATGTTTAAGTAATAAGGGAAAAGCCAGACGAGGTGTCGCTGATGGTGGACCCGACGATGATGGAGACTACGCCACGTTACGTGAATTACCATTGATGACATCGTTGGACCCCGCTGATGATTCCACTTCTGAAGAAAATAAGGTAATTTTTAAAAAAATTTTGGTTATTTCATTTTTTCTTAGTAATTTTTTTGTTGAATTCATAAATCAAATTTTTTTCTTGTCAATAATTTAGTTTAATATTAATAATAATCTAATTACTTTACTTTTTATTCTAAAAATTTTAGTTTTTTCACTAACGAAACGATTTTAAAAGAGTCTTTTTTCATAATATTATTTTCTAAAATATTTCTTTTCTTTATTTATTTACTTAATTTATTATTTGTTTACTTATATAATTATTAATTTATTTTCTTATTTACGTATTTATTTACTTATTAATTTATTTGTTTACTTATTTATTTATTTACTTTTTTGTTTACTTATTTATTTACTTATTTATTTAATTATTTATTTACTTATTTACTTATTTGTTTACTTATTTATTTATTTATTTATTTACTTTTTTGTTTACTTATTTATTTACTTATTTATACACTTATTTATTAACTTATTTATTTATTTACTCGTAGACTCTTTTATATGCTTAAAAAAGGGTTTTAGTAGTAAAATATTTTTACTACAATTCTAGTGGTTAAAAAACTCATTCTCTTATTTTTTTTTGTACTTTGACAGTGGGGAAGGTGGCTGGTATCTCATAGGACTGGTATTCCTAAGTTTACAGATGTAAGAATCACGATATTTTTTTTCGTGTTCTAAAACAAATACTAACAAGACAATTTTTACTTCCTTACTAACAAATTTTTTGCTTTTTCTGTTTCACTAAAACTGAATAATAGCATAGATTTGAATGTTTAGAGATTTTCCTCTTCTATTTTAGAGGGATTTGCATTATCTTTGAATGACTTGTAGTTTTTAGTTGCTAACAAAACTTACAAAACCGATAACAAATATACCTATTAGAATAAAATTACAGTCATTAAATCAACAAATTAGGAAAATTAAAAAAAATTGCCAAAAAATATGAAAAAAAAATTTAAAGAAATACTTTTAATAACATTAGTAACGAATTTTCATTGTTCCAAATAGGATTTTTTTTATAATAAATAAAATTTTCAAGACAAATAACACAAATATTGGAAACAGACTTATAAATATCGCAAGTATACCACAGACAACAGACAGTTTTTTATTTGCAACTTTTTTTTAATTCGAATTATTTATTAGCAAAAACATTACATTATTCATTACATTAAATTATTTTTCACTCTATTATTTTATTTTCTTCAAATAGTTGTTAGCTACTAGTTATTGTCTATAGGGCAACTGAAAATAATCATACAATTAAATATAAAGAAATAATTAACACTAATTAATAAAATACAAATTAAATGATTTTAGTTATCAAAACATTGAAATTATCCTAATTATAGAAAAATTTCATACAAAATTACAAACTAAAAAAAGTTTCTTTAAATTCTCTTTCTCTATTAAATTATTATGTATATATAGAGTTCATAATTTTTTAATTTCAAAAGAGAGGCGAATAATTAAAGAAGGTAATTAAAAGCACGTATCATTTGTTAATTTGAAAACAAGTAATTAAATTAAAATTAAATTGAAAATCATAATTAGAATAAAAAATTTGAATTTGTCTCTCTTCTTGGAAATTATTTCAGTTTGTGTGAATAATTAAAAAAGACACGTGGATACTTTGTATGAATAATTAAAAAAAAACATATGGATTGACGGAACTTTTGTTCTTTTTTTTTAGAAAAAGAAATGAATTTTTTTAATAAATTAGCTGAAAATTTATTATTAACATTATATAATTAAATTGACTAATAACAAATACTAACGCAGCACGTGTCTTGGCAGCTTCTGGAGTGTGTTAACGACGATCAAGTGACATACTACGCAAGCGGTAACCGCGATCTTCAACCTTCAGAGGGTGATCCCTCCCCTCTTCTCACCCCTGACCCTTTGCCTGATCCTGCTTCGGAGCCACTTCCGCTACCGCCGCCAACTCCGACTTCCGAACCATCCACCGAAGTCGCCTCAGCACCCTTAATTACTAACGCCCAGGTACTAACTAACACACCTGTTGACGTCCCAACAATTATTCATAATCACCCGCATGTCCTCGCTTTTATTTTCATAGAAAAGAGAAAATTTTGTCCTTTCATTCGTTTGATTTTTTAATTTAATTATTAGATGTTGGTGTAATTAAATTATTATTTTTTATTATTATTTATAAATAGGATTCAAATGGCAGTAGTAGAGGTCAATTTTAGTCAGACGAAACATTTGGAGACGAATTTAAGTAGTAACGGTAAATTTTAGTCAGTCCAGATGTATCTGGACTTTTGAAAATGTAGTTTAAGTGGTTAAGGTCAATTTTAGTCAGTCCAGGTGTTTCTGCACTTTTTTAAATGTAGTTTAAGTGATTAAGGTCAATTTTAGTCAGTCCAGATTTTTCTACCCTTTGTTGAAAGTAGTTTAAGTAATTAAGATCATTTTTACTCAGACGAATCATTTCGAGAATAAGTTTAAGTAGTATAGGTCAAGCTTAGCCAATCGAAATAATTCTACATTTTTTATAATCTAGTTTAAGTGGTTGAGGTCAATTTTAGTCAGACGTACCTTTTGGAGACATGTTTAAGTAGTATAAGTCAAATTTAGCCAGACAAAATGTTCCTGAACTATAAAGTCAATTTGGTATAAGTAGTAGAAATAATTTTTAGTCAGACATAAAGATTTTAAACAATTATCAACTTACCTTAAGTGGTAACAGTAAGTTTTGGTCAGACATATTGCAATGAATTCGTATGAAGTTGATTTCAAGTAATACTGACAATTTTTATCAAGACAAAATATTTTTAAGGTCATTAAAATTACGTGTATCAGTAGTAGAAACAGATTTTCAGTACTTTTTTAGTCAGACAGAGAGTTTTTTAACTAGTAAAACGTTTCTAGGTTTATTATAATTAAAAACCAGTAGTAGAAAATTACTTTAGTCGCGCAGAAAATATTTTCTACTAATTTAAATTTTTTCCAAGTTGTAAAAAAAGTTTTTAGTCCGGCAGAATATTTTACTACTGTTAATCATTATCTTCAAGGTGCAGAATTAAATTTAAGTCATAATGAATTCTTATAAAAGTCACTTTAGTAGTAAACGAAATTTTTAGTCTGACAAAACATTTTCAGACTTATCGAAATTAATTACTAGTAGTTTTTTGTCAGACAAGCTGTAATTGATTTTATTGCAGAATTTTTGACAGTAGTAAAAGATATTTTTAATCAGACATGTTTGGAATGTTTCAGAAAATATTAAGTAGTATAAGACTATTTTTGTCAGACAGTATATCTGAATTTTATATTTAGTAGTGGAGAATATTTCTAGTCAAACACGATTTTTTAACAATTTTCTTAACTCAGAAGAAGAAGTAATAATCGAATTTAGTCAGATATCATAAATTGTCTTTTTCAGTAGTAGAGAATATTTTCAGTCAGACCTAATTACTCTGACATTTTTGTTAAATAAGTATTAAAATAATAACGATGAAATTTCGTCAGAGTAAAAATTACTAACTTCAGAATTTATATTTTCAGTAGTAATGAATATTTTTAGTGAAGCAGAATTTTTCAAAATTGTATTAGTTCAGTTAAAGTAGTAATAATAAAATTAAGTCAGACTAATTATTGAAAATTCCATTATTTATATTTTCAGTAGTAGTGAATATTTTTAGTCAGACAGAATTTCTTAAAAATTGTCTCAATTGAGAAAAAGTTGCAATAATCGAATTTAGTGAGACTAAAAGTAATAATTTTTAAAACTGGTAGTTAAAGTAGTAGAGGGTATTTTCAGTCAGACGTTAGTTCTCTATTTGTGAAATGAGTATAAAAGTAGTAACGATGGAATTTAGTGAGACCAAAATTTAAAAACTTTAGAATTTAAATTTTCAGTAGTATAAGATATTTTTAGACAGACGTAATTTCTCTGATATTTTTGTTAAATAAGTATAAAAGTAGTAACGATTAGATTCAGTTAGACTAAAAATGACAAACTTTAGAATTTACTTTTTCAGTAGTAAAGAATATTTTTAGTCAGACAGAATTTTTCAAAAATGCTCTTATTTCTGTGAAAGTACCTGGTAATAATGAAATTTAGTCTGACTCCAGATGGCAAATTTCAATATTTACATTTTCAGTAGTAGAGAATATTTCTAGTCAGACACAATTTTTTAAAAATTTTCTCATTTCAGAAGAAGTAGTAATAATCGCATTTAGTCAGACTAACGATTATAATTTCCAGAAATTATAGTTTAAGTAGTAGAGCATATTTTCAGTCTACAATTAGTAGTAAAACAGTTCTTTAGTCAAACATGACCCAGCGATTTATTTCGAAATTCAGTCTAAGTAGTAACATCACTTTTTTGTCAGACAGAATATTTTCAAACTTTCCTCAGTTTCAGTAGTAAAAGTAAATTTTAGTCAGACCAAAAACAGTGTGAAATAATTTCAATTTAATTTTTTCCCACTTTTCAATTGAATTTCAGTAGTATAAAACCATTTAAGTCAGACAAATATTTCTCTTTTGCTTCTAAGTCTTTCTTAGTTGTAAATTAATTTTCAGTCAGACTTTTTCTTTTTAATTCTTTCAAATCTGTTTTTCTCCCTGCCTTTGTGTTTATAGCAACATTTTCAAAATGCTTCTTCTGTTTTTTATTTTACAAAAATCTATAATTTTAGTAAAAATTTTAAAGATTGTTTTTGTTGAAAATCTTTAATTTTCTTCAACTCTCAAAAATTATTTGCCAAAATGTTTTGCTCATACTGTCTTTCTCGAAATTAATGTTTTGGTTTCTATTCAAATTTGTGTTCTCCTTTTTTCTTACTATAAATATTTCGTTTTCTATCAAACCTAAATTATTAAACCTAAACTATACTTAACTATATAACTATATTATATTCAGAGTTTTTCTAAGAATATCAAATTGAGACAAAAAACAAATGAAAAGTATTGCGAGGCAATACTTTTGATTCTTTTTTTGTCTGAATTTGATATCCTTAGAAAACACGTGTTAAATTATTTAAAAAATTAGTTATAAAAATGAATTACTAACTGAAAACAAAAATTAACAGGTGAATGGAGGTCAAACGCCACGCTGTCTACGTCGTGCCGATTCAGGAATGCCACACGACGAATTAACACCACGCTCTGACTCATCAAATTCACCGCCCCTCGACGTGGGAATAAATTCCACCGGTCACAATAGTAATACAAGTACCAACAGTGAAACATCAAGTGGCGTTCACAGTAACGCAAGTAACGCAAGTAACGCCTCAAGTTCCCAAAGACGAGCAACAAGCGTCGACGATCTCACCGGTGAACCACGCGAGGAACCCCAATGGCGCAGTTGCTCCCTACAACGTGGCGTTCAACCACCAACTGCCAATACCGTATTCCCCCCTCCCCCACCACCCCTCAATCATCATCATCATCATCACAATCACAATCACAATCTCAACAACAATAATAATCGAACAAACGTTAATAATTTCTCCCCCCAATATGTGAATCACAATGCCCTCTATAATGGTGGTGGTGGGGAAATGGTTGTCGCCGGTTGTCCAGCGGTGATACTTGAGAATACAAACGAGGCGACAGTCGTTATACGTCGACGATCATCACGTACAAAACTCAGCGAACCCCTTAATCACAATGAGGAGCCATTTGGTCGTTCGACAAATATGCGAATGACCTCATTCACCGAGAATACTGATTTACGTTCAATTCAAGCTTCCTCGGCAACATTACCTCATTATCCCACACAACCAATGGTAACTTATCCACATTGCTCGACAATGCCATTGCCACATGCATCGCACAGTATGTCAAATGGTACGAGTGCCAATGGTATTAGCGGTGGTTCAGGTAGTTGTGGTTCAGTATCGCGAAACGTCAATAATTTACCATCTGTCGTGCAACACACAAGCATTCCATCGCACACGACATTACCCTCACATCATAATGGCGTGAGATTAATTCCAGGCAATGGTGGTGCAACATCATCATCATCATCAACAAATCCATTTGTTAAACGCTTCCCAAATGTTTCCGTTCATACACAGGGCTGGGCCCTACCTGGACATCATACCTTTCCACAATTGGCTCTCGGGCAAAAATTACCAACAACTGCACAAATTAGACAGAGTGATCGTGATTCTGCTAATTTCTCAATGGCAAGCAGTGGCGATTCCGATACTTGTCTACCGCATTAAAATTAGATTTTATAATCATCATCAACATCATCGTTCTGTAATTTTTAAGAGAGTTTAATAATGAAATTAATGAGAGTTCTCATTTTCTTGGTGATTGATTCTCTATTCACTGTGAAATGAAAGGTACTAATTTAGTACCAATTTTAATTACTAAATCGTAATTTGGTTCTGTTTCAATACCCAAAATCAGCTCTAAGTTAAAACCTTTTTTTACAGTGTTGAATTACAAAATTTATTGTAAATCAAATTTTTCTTTTTTTTTATTTATTTTCTGAATTTTTACCAAGGAGATTTATCAATTTTCAAAAAACATGTTCCCAAAGTCGAATCAATATTCAAACAGAGCTAATTATTGAATTTAAAAATTTAGTGTTGCACTTCGAATACGAGTCTCCTCTCGAAGAACCGAGAATCTCGAGAAAAAAATAATTAAAACAATTGAATATGTTATATTTGCATTTCTTTTCTTTTATGAAAGGACAGAGTCTCGTCGTGCATCTCTATAAAAATTGATCCCAACTTTTAAATTGGGACAAGTTTCTGATAATAATTGATTGAAAAAGAAATTTACAACCTAGAATCAAATTTATTTTATCAGGATTCAGGAATAATAATTATTAACGATATGTAATCATTTACAGTAATTGCTAATAATAATAGTAATTATTTACAGTAATTGCTAATAATAATAGTAATTATTAACAGTAATTGCTAATAATAATAGTAATTATTAACAGTGATTGTTAATAATAATAGTAATTATTAACAGTAATTGTTAATAATAATAGTAATTATTAACTGTAATTGTTAATAACAATGAACTAATTATTAACAGTAATAGTTAATAACAATTAATAATTATTAACAGTCATAGTTAAAAACAATAGTAATTATTGATAATAATTATTGAGTAAGAATTTCTGAAACGTGCAACCTATAACTTGAAAATTTTTATTTTTTCCTAAATGTTAATTTTCCTGTAGCATTTTATATAAAAAATCACAATGTAAAAGATTTTTGCAAAAAAAAAATTTAATCTTGTTATTAACAATTGAAAATTTTTATTGATTTTTAAAAAAAAATTAATTTCAGAAAAACTTTTTGGCCGATTTTAATGATTCAACCGGCACTATTTTTGTCTTGAATCCAACTTTTAAATAAAAATTATTTTGTTTAGATATTGAATTTTAATAAACAAAAAAATTGTTTATTTATAAAAAATATGTAAAAAAAACACTTTACCCATGAAATTTTAAATTGAAAAAAATTATATTTATTCTTTAAACCTTTCTGAACACAACACTATTCCAAAGAAAAAAAAATGGAACGCATTAAGAAGTAATGATTAATAACAATAATAATTAACAATAATTATTAACAATAATTATTATTAACATTCAATAATAATTTAATAACAGGAAAACACATTTGGGTCAACTTTTGGATTCGGAAAAGTAAGAACGTTATTTAACGTATTTTGTTACACTAAACTCGAAAATTAAATTAAATTCGTCTTTATAGATTTTCTCTAGATTTTGAATTACAAAAATCTGACTTAAAATTCGTAATCAGCGACTCCAATTTCGATTATCAGTCATTTTTATTTCAAATTTACCTTGGAAAGAGGTTTTTGTTGCTCAAGTCTAAAACCTGCTAAACCTGTGTTATAAATATAATTAAAAATAATATATTGTTAATAATAATAATATAATAATATAATTCTTATTCATAAAGTGAATTTTATTCTTGGTTGAAAATTAATTTTTCAAATTTTGCCTCGATATTGGGAACAATGTTGCTGTGTAAAATGGTAAAATTCCATTTCTTCTACTTGCAAATAGCAATAATAATGTATTAACTAATTAATAATTAAATAATAATTATTAATTAATTGTAAAAATTAAGAAGAGAAAAAAATGCAAATAATTGAGAACAATGTTGCTTTGTAAGATGGAAGAATTTTTTTTTCCCCACTCGCAATTAATAATTTATTGATTAATTAATTATTATTAATTGATTGTAAACTTTCAAAAGAAAATACAGTTCGTGATTGGTTTGTAGTTTTAATAGAAAAATTTAAGCAAAAGAAATTAGGAACTTTTATTGTTCTCGAAAGAATGTGAAATAAAGAGAATCGAAAAATAGAGAAATTAATTCATCAAGAAATTGTATTAAAACAAGCAACAGTGAAAAATTTTACAAATTGTTTATTCGAAAAATATCCAAAATGATGAATAAAAAATTAGAAAAAATTTTTCACTCTGCTATTCTCAAAGATTTTTTTATTAGATATATTTCAAAAAAAGAGAGACAAAAAAAGAGAGAGAGAAAATCGACGATTCAGGTTTGGTTTCTGTAAATGACTCAAATCTCAAGTTTTCTTTTCGTTGAGATAAATATGATGATAATAATCGTTTTCTAAATATAGAAACGCTGAAAATAATAATTACAAATATAGTTCTTCTCGAGAAAAAAAATGCGATTCCAATGAGTAGTTTTTATATATTATAAAAAACCAAAAAAAAAAAATAAATAAAAATAAAACTTAAACTTTACATATACTTGTCGTATTTTTCGATTTTAGAGAGAAGAAGAGCAAACAAGAAAATTACATATCCATAAACAGCTTTCTCTCGTATTTTTTGATACAAATCTTTGCGTCTGCAACGTGTGTATGTGCATATACTCAAACGGCTTTACAGCAAATGTAAAGCTAGTGTTAGAAGTAGAATTTGCTTTTTACCCAAAAAATTAAAAAAATGTACCAAAAAGACATTGAAAAGAAAACATATCCTTAAACTTGTGATTAAAAATCTTGACTCATTCTTCTTCAAATTTCAAAATCGTGATAAATATTATATTGTTATAAATTCAGTAATTAATTGCAATTAAATAGAAAATTTTCGATCCTTACAATCGATTTCTATTTATGAAAATAAATTATTATCGAAAATCAAGATTTATATGCGACAACAATTTTCTTTTGAAAAAATAATATCCTCAAAATTGTCTTCTTAGAAAAATAATGTTACAAACAACTTTTAGTTTAAAATTTTTTATTTTAAAAAAATTTCTCTATTTTAAAAATTCCTAACACAGTTTTTTCCTAGATAAATGTTTTATAAGAATTATTTTTATTATTATAAATAATTTCCCTCTGGAGGGAAGACAATTCCACTGTTGTTAAAATAATTTGTTTGTGAAAAGAAAATATTTTACTTGTATTAAGTAATTTGTTTGTGAAAAAAATATTTTACTTGTATAAATAATTTGTTTGTAAAAATAATTTGCTTGTAAAAATAATTTCTGTTTATAAAAATAATTTCTGTTTGTAAAAACGGTTTCCTGTTAATGAAAAAAAACTCACTGTTAAAAAAGCAATTTTATAAAACTTTCCTATTATACAATACAAAACAATCATTCACTCTTTAAACAATTTTTCACTATACAAACAATTTTACATTTAATGTTGCAAAAAATATTCCTGTATTATACAAACATTTTCCTACTAAACAAACAATTTCCTATTAAACATACATTTTCCTACTAAAAAAGCAATTTCCTATTAAACAAACGATTTCTTAAGAAGCAAACAATTTCCTACTAAACAAACAGTTTCCTATTAAACAAACAACACTCTATTAAACAAACAATTCCTTAAACTAAAAATTTCAACAAAAAAACTAAAAATTTCCTACTAAACAAACAATTTTCTACTAAACAAACACTCCTCTATTAAGTAAACAATTTCCTACCAAACAAACTATTTCCTATTAAACAAACAATCTTTTACTAAACAAACAATTCCTTAGTAAACAAGCAATTTCCTACTAAACAAACAATTTCTCACTAAACAAAAAAATTTCTACTAAAGAATAATTCCAATAAAACAATCAAGTTTCAACTAAAAAATAATTACAATGAAACAATTTCCTACTAAAAAAAATTTCCAATTAAACAAACAAATTCTTGTCATAAAAAAAATTTTCTCTCTCCTATTGTATAAACACTTTTCTCTTTATACAAAAACAATTTTCCAATATAAAAACAATTGGATAAATTGTTTCAAAAAATTAAATTCTCCTAAACATTAAAAAAAAATTTCTCAAAATAAAAATAATCCCCTAAATTAGTAAATGAAAAAAATCTAGTTTTGCCTCTAGAAAAATGATGAATTGAAAACTCAAAAAATGCAAATTAGCTTTTACAAAATAAAACAAAAATACACGACTAAAATTAGTAATAAATAATAAATAATAATTGTGCTTTTAATGAGATTATTAAAAGAAGAAAAATAAAATCGTAATTTAAGCAGAAATCAAACCTGAAAAATGATTCGCATTAAGAAAAGGTGTTCGGTTATTATAAATAGACGATAAGAAATGTACCCAAAGACTTGCTTCCTTATATTTCCTGCAAACATGGATTTTTTTGTGAAGTAATTAATGAACAAAAAAATTTAAAAAAAGGTATATAAACTAAATAGACGAGTTGCTCGATACGTAAGAAATTTCGATAATTATTCCATCGATGTTATGAAGGAATATAACTCGGTATCGCTCTTAATAAGGTTCGTGTATAGGGAAAGTAAGTTCGTTCACGATGGAAGTCATTAATTACGCTTCCTCTCGAATGTTTATAAAGACTTCATGAAAAAAATAAGAATTTAAAAAATTTAGATTCTATTTAGAAAATAGAAGGCTTTTTTCAAATAACAATAATATTGTAAATTTCTTTAAAACAACTCCTTTGTACATTGTGCTATTTTTTTATTTCATTTTTATTCTCACAATTTTTGACATATAAATTGTCCCAAAAGAAAAAAATTTGTAACTTCTGTTTTTTAAGGGGAAAAAAATTACTTTTTCCATAAATAAAAATTTCGAAAGAAAAACTTTGAGAAATATTTTTTTGTTTTGGTTAAATTTCCAAATAAGCATTTTTCTAATGAAAATAAAAAATTAGTTTTAATTTTCCGAGAATAAAGAAAAGAAGGAAAAAAATTTCTCAGAGTGTAAGACTTTGTAAATACATAATTATTAATTATATATAATTAGCCCTAATCGATAAGCTAATATATACGATTAAGTGCCATTGTTATTTGATAATTTCCTTTCTGAGAGGTACTTAAATTTTAGAGGAAAAAAAAGGCGAAAATGGCACTCTGAAGGTATTACAAACTACAGTGGCACGTGCCATTTATGTGTTCTTGATTTTAAATCGAGATTATAAATGAATTACTGCCATTCATTGAATGAATCTCCAATTGTGCATTTACTCTTATCGACTGTCCATTATCGCCTTAGAATTGTAATTTTTATTTTCAAATTTAAAAGAAAAGAAATTGTTGTTTCCAAAAATTGGAAGAAAAAAAATTTCAATTTACAAAATTGAAAAGAAAAATAAACTCCTATTTTCAATTTTTTAAGAAGAATTTTTGTTCTTCTTTCTAAATAAAAAAACTCCTATTTTCAAATTTGGAAGAATAAGAAACATTTCTAAATTTGAAAGAAAATAAATTTTTTAATTCCAAAGGAAAAGAAACAAAAATTTCTTTTTTATACTCTATGAAAATGTATTGGAAAATAATTTTGCAAAAATGTTGCCGGTCTCTTTCCTCGAGAAGATTCAATTTATCTTCGCCAAAAAAAAAAAAAAATGACAAGAATCTCGAAAAATTTTTTTTCAAAATATTTGTGTAGATAACGTGATATCTGTGACCTTGAAAATATGAGAGCTTCAGATGAATTTCTTCGAAAACAGCCTTTTTCGAAATCACGATCTCTACCAAGAAAGTAAATGTATTTTTTATCGCCGACATCTTTAGCTAGATCAAAAAAAAAAAAAAACGAAAAACAAAATACTTAAAAAAATAACAGAAGACAAAAAATGAATGTATAAGCTAGACGTGTTTCAAGCGAAAATAATTTTTTAAACACTAGCGTTCGTTTAAAATAAAACATCATGAAATGGATTAAAAATTTCAAGGAGATGAAATAATAATTTTTTTGGGAAAAATAGAAAAAAAAATAGAAAAAATTATTTATAAATTTTTTTCAAATTGAAACAATAAAAATACTTTGTCAAGTTTTATTTAGAAAATAATGTTTTTTAAATTTTGCTTGAAAATATAAAAATATTTTTTTTTTTATTTTTAAAAAATAGTTTTTCAAGTTTTATTGGGAAAAAATAAAAAATAGAAAATCCTCCTTGAAAATTTTATCTAAAAAATGACCAAAAAACAAAAAAAATGTATTTTTGGTAAATAGACGAATTTTCCTCGACTCGAATGGTTTGTGAGAGACATTTTAGCATGTACTTTAAAAAATAAATCGACCAATGAAATCGTGATCGGTGAGTAATATTTTTTTTAAAAAAGAAAAATTTTCCCAAATGGGAAAAAAATAAGAAAAATGTTTTCATCATCGATCACACATATCATTTTTAAGGACCAGATTGAATGTTGTTTCAATCGTAGTCAACAATAGACAGAATTTTTCAAATCATGTCACACTCTTCACATAATTAATTAACTTGAAAGGTTTCCACATTTTATTTCACGTATTGATTTTCAAAATATGTTTTTCTATTTTTAAATTATTTTATTTTCTATAAATTCAGAAAAATTTACGGAAAAGAGAAAAATATATGTAAACAAAAGTGAAGAAAGTGTAAATTAAAAGTATTATTAAAAATTCAGCAAGGGGTTCATATAGAAATTCGAAACAAAAATTAAATCAATTAAAAAATGTCGAGAAAAAAAATTCAGCAATAGTTGATAGTAAAAAAAAATATTAAGAATTAAAAGAAAAATTAAATTTACTAAAAATGTCGAGAGAACAATCAACAAAAGATGAATGCAAAAAAATATTTTAAACTAAAAGAAAAGTTGAATTAATTAAAAATTGTAAAGAATAAAAATAAATAAGAATTAAAAATAATAATAAGATACTGAGGATAATGAAGATAATAATGTTTCAAACGAAACGTGAAATAATTTTTTTCGTGGAAACCATCAAGTTTTTTGCATAAGACAATAGAAGTGCTTTCATACATTTTTAACATTGTAATAAGATTTTGAAGAAAAAAAAAATCGAGAGAATGGGAGAGCATTTTATTTAAGGTCTACCTCGAAAAGCAAAAAAAAATAAAAAATAAAGAAAAATGTAGCTTTTGCAGTCAGAATTTTAGCGCAGTGATTAAAAAAAGTACCTTTATATTCATTCTCACAAAAAAAAATTATCACCCATCATCGGTAGTTATTGCAGAAGAAAAGTATTGTGTAGTTTACTCGTCGCATTCACAAGAGACTTAAAGAAAAAAAGAAAAGAGAGCGCTCGCTATCTTTTTTCAAAAAAATATTTTTTTACCGCTAACGACACATCTCATAATTAAAAGAAATAAAAAAAAGTCACCTAAGAATCCGGCTAGAGTCTTGTAAAACATTTTTTTTTTATGAGAATTAAGGAGGCTCCGAAACCGGATTGATAAAAATATTATGAGAGGAAAAATTCGGCAAAAGAAATAAAAGATGGAAAAGAAAAATCAGTTCGTGCAATTTCCCATTTTTTTATGCCTTTTCCAGTGAAAGTCATTTTTTTCAAACGAAAAAAATTGAAAAGTAAATTTTAGGGTGGAAATAATTGTTTCTCTTTTAAATTTTATTCTAATTTTGTTATTCAATTTTTTCAAAAATATTTTTTAATTTTATTATTCAATTTTTAAAAAATATTTTCGGTAATTTTATTTATTAACATAGCTACGTGTATTTTTTTTATTATACTGATAAATATTATTACAAATAAAATTATAAATATTATAAATAATATAAATAATTATTATTTATAATTTTATACTGTGAGTTACGAAAGAATTACAAATTTTTTTCTAAAAATATTTATCAAGCAAATATTTTTACGAAAAAAGTGTGTAATTAACTAACACTAATACGAAGATTATTTGTATTATTAATATTTATACAAAAAATATTCGTAATACTAAAATTTATACAAAAAATATGAGTATTAGTAAAATTTAAACCTTTTTGAAAAAATATTTATCAGACAAAATATTAATACCAAAATTTGTTTCTATTTTATTTATACTTTAAAAATTGTAATTATTGAAAAAGTAGAAATTATTGACAATTTTATTTTTCCAAAATTAATTTCAAAAAGAGGAAAAAATACAAAAAATGAAATACAGAAAAAGTACCTACAAAAAAAAAAATTCAGAAAAAAGTACAGAAAAAAATTTACTGATATATTTTGACATAATACCTAATTAAATTTTTAATTTAACTTAAAATGGGAAAATTACAATTATTCTAAAATTTCTCTCATATTTTTTTATCAAAATTAACATTTTGTGACTATTTGAACTTTATGTAAACTGAAAACTAATTTGAATTATTTCCACCCTAATGAGATTAAGTTTTTGATTGTAATGGATAGCCGGTCAAGAGCTCTCTGCTTCGCGTCAAATGGCGAAAAAAAAAATTAATTAGGTCGTCAAAGAAAAAACACATTAAAAAAGAAAAACGCTGTAAATAATATAACAATGAATCATGTGAAAGCTAATTGTACGAATATTGTATAAAGACTGATTAGAATAGCCTTGGTATTTATTCAAATTTATTATTATACAAATTACAAGCGTTCTCGCACTGAGATTTCACGTCGCAAGTGCGATATAATAATAATAATAATAATAATAATTTTTTTTTGGTAATATTTTCATATACTTTTTGCGTCACTTTTCTCCGCGCCGTAAAATATTATGTAATTACCATAATTATTAATTTTATCATTATTGTAATAAGTATTAATTTTATTATTGTAATAATATTTAATTTTATCATTGTAACAATATTTAATTTTATCATTATAACAATATTTAATTTATAATAATAATTGTAAAGTAATTTTAAACAAAAAGGAAGAGAAAAGCCCAGTGTGGATAGAAATTTTTACTTAATTATAGTACGAGAAATTTTTGTCATATTATAGATTTAAAAACGAATTTGTACTGAAGATATTTTACTATCTTTTTTTTTATAGTTTTAATTAGTATTAGAGGAAAAATTTATGAAGATAATAAATTTTCAACTAAGGTGAAAATCGCTTTTTTTGTAATGAAAAGAAAGGAAAAACAAAATTTTTTGTTTACGTTGTAAAATTTTGATGCGTGAATAAAAATTAATTATTGAGTTTTCTTTTTTTAATTGCCGGATGATCGGAAATCTCACTGCGTGAAACAGAGAGAAATAAAGACAAGAAAAAAAAACAAGTAAAATTAAAGAGAGAAAAAAAGGGAAAAAATGAAGAAAAAAAAACATAACTTGAGCGCAGTTATAAAAAGCGGCACTATTATCGTCACAACGTATCAAATATTATTCAAGCAACGTATAAACCATTGAAACTTAATGTAAACTTTGTATATTCATTTACCAAGAAAATATTAATAAATTATTCAATGAAAATATATATTTTGTTCAATAATTTCAATTATTACATTTACTTTATTTAAATTACATATAATTAATTAATTATTATTTGATCAAATTGTAATTTAATATAATAAAAAGTAATTATTATTTATGAATTATTTATTAATTACTATCTATTAATTATTACTAATTACATTATTTTATCCTATTATTTCTTAAGTTTTCAATAAAAAGTTCTTGTAAAAAATTTCAGCTTCATTTCTCGTAGAAAAAAATTTCCTTTTTTTAGTACTCATCCATTTTGGCTCTTGCTTTTTTTAAATCTGAAAAAATGAAGAGTAAATTTAAAAAATATTTTTTAAAAGTTTGGAATACAGGATTTTTTTTTCTGAAAATAGTGTAAAATATAATCGATTACCCGCTAGTAGAACTGGAATTTCGTTCCTCAAAATATTTATACTTGTTTCGTCCTCCTGTCCATTGATATTTTTCAACTTGAGTGTAATTTTATTAAATGGCGATGAATTTTCACCGGGAACAATTTCAAAGCTTGTTAAACGATTTACTAGAAAAAAGTAAGAAATTTAAAACTAAATTTTAACATTGTTTGTATTTTTATTATTTTATTTAGTATTCTTTGTAAAAATTAGTAAATTTTGTAAGATCTGTGGTGTTATTATGTAATTTAACTTTCTGACTTTGATTTTAACTTTGACTTTTACTTTAATTTTGACTTTCACTTTGACTTTGATTGTAGCTTTCAAAGTGAAAGTGAAAGTGAAAGTGAAAATCAAAGTGAAAGTGAAAGTGAAAGTGAAAATCAAAGTGAAAGTGAAAGTGAAAAATAAATGCGAAAGTCAAATTGGAAATCAAAGTCTAAATAAAAGTCAAAGTGAAAGTCGAAATAGAAGTAAAAATGAATTTTCAAAATATATATAAAAAAAGTATAAAAAATTATTATATACTTACGTCTAAGAGATTGGGAGGTGAGAATTGCAGTAACTTGAGGACAATTATCGGTATGAATTCGGGCAATTGCGGCACTATGTTCACGAGGAAGTCCAAGTTGTTGTAATTCGCTGCTTAAATCTGCCGGAGAGACACCGTAACGTGCTGAGGATGTTAAAATTAATTCCAAGGCCGCTACAATTGCTTTTGAATCATCCAATTCTATTTTTTTTTTTTTTTTTGAAAAAACAAAATTTTAATTTAAATTTAAATTCGATGAAAATATTCTTTTTTACTAAATTAGAGGAAAACGTTTCTATGCTTAAAAATTAATTATTTTAATTAAAAGTTTACTGTTAGTGAGAACAATACACACCAAGTTTAGCATCTTGCGTTAGTTTCTTTACTTTCTCCTCCTGAAAATCAAAAGAAAAATGGAATAATTAGAAAATTATAACTAGTATTTAACAATATAAATAAACAAGCAAAATAAAAAAATAATAACAAAAACTAAAACCAAAGGTAAAAACATAAAGAATACAAAAATAAGAGATAAAAAATAAATTTTTTTTTCTATTGTTCTTTGTGTGTAAATAATTATTAATAATTTATAATAATTAATAATTAAATTAATTTTAAATATTTTTATAAAAAATATTAATTTTTTATTTTTTATTGTTGTCTTTTGTTAATAATTATTGTTAAGAACATTGTACTGGCTTTTAGTCATTAAACAATTGAATAAATACATGAAACGTAAGAGTAAAAAGAAAGATAAAACTTTAAAATTGGACACACAAATAAATTATTAAAATTCAAATATAAATTCTGAAAAAATTGAGAAAGTATTAAAAAATATTTATTTTGCGATGATAAAATTCGTAAGCTTTTTTGTTGGAATGAACTCTATCTGGTGAAAGTATATTTTATCTTTGTTCACTATATTCTCTCTTACTGTAAGGTGACAGTTTCAATAAGTATCCTTAGTCTTCCATAAAGCTACATTGAGTTAGATTCCACGGTTGGAAAATTCAAATATAATATCAGTCCTACGTTAATATTTTTTTATAATACATATTAAAATAAAATTTTATAAAATATTATTTTACTCTTCAAAAGTTAATCAAGAAAAATAATATTAAAAAAAGATTTTAATTTTCACTAAATTAACAAACTGTACAATTTTTTATTATTAACAATTTGTTACGATAATAACAAAAGAATAATACTTACATCAAACTCTCCTTCTGTTAAAGATTTAACAACAACCTGACAGAGTAATTTCATTTTAATTGATGTCTGAAAATGGAACATTCTGTTAATTTCTATATTTTTTTTTTCCTTTTTGTGTTATAAATATTTTTAATTTTATTATTTATTTTTTCATGCGATTTTAAAATAATCGAATAAAAATAATATAATTATTATAATAATAATTTAATATACAATATTCAATTTACTTAAATAGAAAAATAATTTAAAGAAAAAAAAACATTCTTTAGTTAATTTTTTATTTTATATTATAATTTTAAATGAATTTTCTCACCATTCGTGACAATGTATTTATTTCAGCCAGGAGCCAATCAGGACAGTCTCCATCACCCAAGAAGCGAAACCTCTGCGAGAAAAAAAAATGGTCATTGGAATAAAATTTAAGCAATTAATGAATAATATAACAATAATTTCAAAGGAAAATTAATAGATTTTTTAATTTATTGAAAACGAATTTAATTCATAATGAAAAAAGAATATTAAAATAATGTGTAATTATTTACCATTGTAGTAAATTTTTATCTCGTACACTTCAGTTAAAAGCTCTGCAACAGAAAACAATTTCAATTTTTTTAATAACATTATCATAAAATTATCAATTTAAAATTTTTATGATATTATCAAAAAAAAAAATTATTTTTTAATTATGTAGGTATATTAATTATTATTATTTTTTTGCACACTCGCTGTTTTAAAAAATAACATATAAACAATAAAAAGACACGAAAAATTGTATTGCTTAAAAATATTATTTTTATCGACTTTTTGTTTATTTATTAGTTGTTTAAATTTAAGTAAAGTTGTTCCTTCAAGTAGTAAAAGTCGAGTTTAGTCAGACAAAAATTCTGAGAAATATGAGATGATTTCATCAATTTGAATGAATTTTTTCCAAATTTTTTACATCATATCAAATTGTGAAAATGGAAAATGAATTTTAATAATTAAAAAATTTAAAGAAATGAAATAAATTTAAAGAAATTAAAAAAAATTTAAAGAAATTGAAAAAATTGAAAAAATTTAAAGAAATTAGAAGAAGAATTAATAGAATCTAAAAGAAATTTTCGGAAATAATTTAAAGAAATGAAAAGATATTGAAAGGTATTGAAGGATATCCAAAAAAAAATTGGAAGAAATTAAAATAATTTATTCAAGTAGTAAAAAGTGACTTTGGTCAGACACTAAGTTAGGGAGATTTAAGATAACTTCCATCAATTTAAATTCATTCTTTCCAAGTTATTTACATAATTTCAGTTAAGAAAATGGAAAATAAATTCTAACAGTTAAAAAAATTAATAGAAATTAAAAGAAAATTGCAAAAAATTGAAAAAAAACTGAAAAATATTGAGAGGAATTGAAGGAAATTGAAATATAAAATAAGAAATGTAAAAAAAATTGAATGAAAGCAGAAAACACAAAAGAATTTTAATATTAAAATTTTATATTGAACAAAAGAATAATTAAGTCATGGAAAAGTAATTTATTCATTAAGGGGTCTTGACACACTGTAAAGTTTCAATTTCAAATTTTGCTTTAAACCAAAAGGGGTTGAAAGACATTCGCAATCTAATTTCACGTCTTTATTATAATCAAGAATGTTAAACGCTCCGTGTCAAATAGTTTCCAGTTTATTTTGACAATAATTTATTTTTTATTTTCATTCAAAACATTCTGTTTACTTTATTTACGTTATCACTATTTTGAGGGTACATTAACATTTTTTCCTTTTGTGTTGAGTGTAGAATATTAAAACTATAAAAAAAAATATTTCTGAATATGAAAAAGTGAATATTATAATAATTTAGTAATTATTTTAATTATATCTAAGGACAAATTAAAAAAAAAAATTTTTTATAACAAATTCATTTTACCGTATTTATTCAATAAAATTTATTTTTCAAACAGTAAAATTTCTGTTGACCTTTTAAAATATTTTTTTTTTTATTTTAAGACACTTTTTTCTATTTTATCAAAAATATTCAAATTGAAATTATTATAGGTAGGTATATAAATATCACAAACGAAATTCATATTGTAAATTTCTATAAATAGAAAATTTGCAGAAAAATGAAAAATAGAATTTTTGTTTGGTGCATGTGCACTATTCACTGTTGAATAAAAGCGAGGGGAAGAGAGAGAAAGAGAGAGGCGGTGGTATATTAAATATAATAATATATTAAAAAGCATCTGGACGTATTCAATGTTTACCCTCGTCGACCAGGAAATTGACATGGGGCAATGTGTTGTGTACGAATTCCCCATGCAATCCGCGGGATCTTCGAACCGCAACGAAACAACCCCTGGGAAGTAATGCCGGTCACCATAAATACAGAAGTAACTCAGAAAATCAAGTCATTTCAATTCTGAACATAAAAGTGGTAGTGCTCGCAAATATCCAACAGGTGACTGTTGCAACAGGTCTGTAAATTATATATTCGTCATTATAATTTTCCATTTTCCCGCACAGCAAATCAATTTTTTTTTCGCTTTAATCACTCTTCAAATTCAATAAAATTTGCTAATCGCAAAAAAAGAAAAATTTCAAATATCGAAAAAGGAAAGTTAATTTTTTTTTCAAACACTCTATTACAGAAAATCAAATTACCAAAAAAAAAAATAAAAAAAATTTATTTTTATATAATAAATTATTACAATTTAATTAGACAATTTTGTTGAAAGTGAGAAAAATAGAATAAATAATATTATTTATTTAATAATAATATGTACATAATTTAATTAAATAATAATAATCTAATTAAAAATTATTATTGTAACAAAAAAAAAAATTAAATAACGAATGAAAATAAAAATCTGCATAAATGGGAGAAGACAAAAATCATAAATTTGGCGAAATTGTCTTTTTTGCAGGAGACTTTTTCTTTGACTGTATAAATTTAAAGCGATTTTCTTTTTTGTGCGTGGGACTTTTATTCATGTATGTATAGTTTATTATCAAGAGAGAGGTGAGAATATGTTAAGTGTCAAATAAGTGGTTTTCAAAAATAGACATTTTCATATAAAGAAGAAACTAAAGGGAAATTTTTTCCATCTGTAACTTTGTTTTTCTGAAATTAGTCTCTTTTAGAAAAAAAAATATTTTTTTGTGAGAAAAAAGTTAATTTCTTACATTTGAGTTATTATTCTACAAATTAATTAACTATTAACTATTATATATTTATTTACTTCGCATTAACCGGTTTATTGTAAATTTCTAAATTTTTTATTTCTTATATGTCTAAAACTTTATATATTAACTAATTTTAATAAATATGAAAAAAATATTTAATATAATAACCACATATTATTTATGAATAAAAATTAAAATATATAATAAATTAAATAATAATACGTTAACTGAAAAAAAAATAATTATAAGCATAAATCTCACATACTTGTTTAAAAATTTTTTAAAAAATTATTGAAAACAAAAAAAAGTAGAAAATAAAAACTATTGAAAATAAAAATTATTAAAAGCACAAATTATTAATTAAAAGAATAACTAATTATTATTGCAAAGCATAAGTAATTTTTAATAAAAAAAAGGTAATTAACTATTACTTTGTGAATTTTGAATCTCAAGATATTCGTAATTTTGTAATTATTTATAATCAAATTTAGAGTGTTTGATAATTAATATAAACGTATTTCAATTTTTAATTCACTTAGATTTATTACAGTATTTTTAACCTTTTCAATTTCTTTAGAGTCTTAGAATTAATTTTTTAGCTAAATAAATTGATATTTAAAATTTAAGTTTAAGAAATTAATTAGTGGCTTTTTTTTAACGAAATGAGTGTCATTAGTAACTTATTTATAAAAATAGTAGCTAAATAGTTGAATGAGACGAAAAAAATATCAAAAAGTATCAATAGTTGCATGAGTTCGAGGTTTGATTATTAATAAAGAAAATAACTATTTTTTAATAAAAAAAGTAACTTTTATAAGGAAAAAGCTGAACGGAAAAAATAGTCAAAACTATAATTGAAGATTAAATTTAAAAAATTTCATAATCTTCAATTTTATATATAAAAATATTAATATTCTTTTTTTTTAATAACTTTACATTGTGATGAAATTAAATTCCTCTTAAAAATATTTGTCATCTACTTTCTATTATCACTTTTTACAGGATGAGGAAAATTCTCTTATCTCTGGCTTTGCTTACAACAGTGACTTCTGAGGATTTAGACGTAAGAAAACAAGAAATTGAGTTTAAAAACTAAAAAAATCTTTTTCCTAATTTCTATTAATTATTTTCTAATAACAGCAGAAATTTTTTTTGTTCACAAATTTTTCAATAATAATTATAATTTTCGAAAACTATTTTTCAAGACCTTTTTTTATACAGAAATAGAAAATTTACGTACACAGAGAAAAATTTCTGTAGCGAGTATTTTTTTCAATAATTCACTTTCCTGATATTAATTTATTATTTATTTATAGACGGGATAATGTGTTTTGTTCAATAATTTCCCAATAAAATAATTCTTGAAAACTAATTTTTTTCTGAGACCTCTTTTTTTATAAGAGCAAAAATTTATTCGCACCAAAAGAAAAATTTCAATATCGAGAATTTTTCTTCTATTCAATCTCGAAAAGAAGTTTGAAAAATAAGGGAAGACTGTCCATGAGATGAAAATTTTATATGAGGAAAAAAATATTTCAATTTCATTGTCGTAATATGTTGCTCATTGTTTATAAATGAATTGAAATAATTTTCTTTCCTTCTCGAAAAAAGAAAAGTTTGGTGGGAAGAAAAATTTGTGTTATATAGACTACTTTTTCATTCTTGTTTTTTTTTTTTTTTTTAAAGTAAACTTTTGCTCCCCTTAACTTTTCGTCACGGTCACGATAAGTTTATTCTCTCGAAAAAAAAATATTTTTCTGCATACTCGAGACAATGACATAATATAAGTGTGAATGTATTTTTAGAGCAAAAAACATCGTCCCTTATTGTCAGAAGGTGAGCCTCAATTCTGGTTCGCGAGAGGCAGTCGCTTCCCATGGGATCTTACCCATTTTGAGTTTGACCAATCCTTGAAAGATAAGGATGTAAGGCGTCTTCAGACAACAGAATCATCACTCAACAAAATTTCTTCTCACGATCTCAACAGGTAAACGACAATTTTTTGTGTTTCAAGTGAAATTAATTTTTTCCGTTGATAAAAATCAATAATAGTATTTTTTTTATATTAAACAAAATTTTTTTACTTAAAAAACATTTTTGCAGAAGAAGGAATTTATTTTTGTCTTGAGAATTTTATTTTTGCCTCGAAATTTTTTATTTTTGTGTTAAAAATTATATTTTTGTATTACACAATTTTTGGTTCTCTACGAAAATTCGTATTTAATTAATAAATTTTTAAATAAAAATAATTATAAAGTTACGAAAATTTTGAGATTCAATATCGAGATGACATTCTCCACCTGCGAACGCCAAGGTCACCGCTAGATGGCAGTTCAGTTCCTTCTTGGAATTTCTCCTGCCACCTGGTGGCGTCCTTGGCGTTCTCAAGTGGAGAAATTGAATCACCATTTTATTATTATTCTTTCTAACTAAAAAAATTTTTTTCTTTTCTCCTCTGTCAAAAATAGATTTATGTTCAACAAGCAAAATTCTCCCAACGCTCAAGAAGAACGTAATCATCAAAAATCTGACGAATCAAGTGATGAGAAGAGAAAAAATTCTCTCATGTCATCAGTAAAAGAAGATTTTCTTCCAAATCAAGAAATAATTGATTGTACAATGAAAAAATGTCCACAATATTTTCAAAATTGGCGTCTACTGGAACCATTTTATGTAGATGAACCAAATTGGGTGCAAGTAAATTCTGAGAATTATGATACACGCTTTGAAGATAGTGAACCATTTTTTGTCACTCGTGGTAAACGATCACTAGAAATACCAAAAATAAATTTTCACCAAAAACAATTTATTCTAGAAAATAAATCAAGAATCAATACATTAAAATCAAATTTACAAACAGGAAATATTGGGAAAAATGAAAATAATGAGAATTTAATGAAGGAAAATGTAACTTTCAAAAAAATTGTACGCAAACGAAGTGAAAATGATGAAGATAATGATGAAAAAAAATTATTGGCGAATATAGAGAAAAATTTGTATCTAAAGGGTGGAATTGGAAAGAATTTTAATTATTTACATCCACGTAATAAGCATTCGGATATTTTGGAAATTCTCGAAGAGCCATTTTTTATTTCACGGGGCAAAAAAAGTAATAGTAATAACAATAATTATTTCTATTATCGTCCAAATAGTGATTTTTCTGTGCCTGATTATTTATGGGAACAATATCTCGATCAGCGTTTAGAAAATTTTCTTTCCGATCTAAATACAGACAGTATGTTAGTGCCGGAGATTGATATTGGCGATAAGGAGAGAATTTTGAGGAAAATTTTCAATAATCTTCCTGTAAAGAGAACAAAAAATGAGAATAAAAAATTTTTTGAGTCAAATAAGAAAAGAAATGTTTTGGATGAGATAAATTTGCATATGGAACCATTTTATATTGCGAGAGGCTGATAGAGAGTTGTGTCTGTAGTTTGGCCTGAGGGTAAGGTTCTTTTGTTTCTGTCAGTCGAACTTGGGTTCGATTCCCCACAAGGTTTTTTTTTCAAAATTCTTGTTTGTAATTTTACAAAATAGAAAATACATTAAATTATTTATAAGGTGAAAAAGCTCATAATAAAAATTGTATTGAATTATAAATTAAAAAATAATTATCCAATCCTTAAAAGAAATCGTATCTGAAATTGTAAAATGTAACTGTAAATGAAAAAAATAAAATATGTTTTTAAATACGTCACCCTATCGCATCCTATATTCATTTTCAACGCTGAAAAAAAATTACTTGCCTTAAATAAGCGATTACTTGATTATTATCAAGTAAATATTTACTTGAATCAAATAATTTTTAATTAAATTGAATAAATTTTATTTAAACCAATAATTTCAGTATTTGAATCACAAACTTTAATTTCCAAAAATAAAAATTTTGTTGATACAAATAAATATTTATTTGATAATAGACAAGTAATCGTATATTTGAATCAACTAAATTTTTTCTCTAGATTAGTTTTTCTAATCATTTATCTTCAAAAAATTTTTCCTTAATTTTGCATATTATATGTGAATGAAAAATTTTTCAAGGTCGCGTATAAAAGATGATTTGAAGAATTTCTTTTTCCGTGAAAGATAGTCTCGACCTAATTTTATCGACTGGAACTAAAGTCATCCTGTTCAACCTACTGTGATTCCTAATTTCTAATGACTAGGAAATATTCCAGAATTTTTGTATAAGAAATCAAAAATAATAAAAAAATAATTTTTGTTTCTTAATTTTTAAATTTTTTGTAATTTTGTCTTTTCTCTTTTTATTCACAAATGGGTGAAATAATTAAATTTTTTCGTCTTTTTTTCTCTCTCGATGAACTAGAAATTGAAGTCTATGAAGGGAAAAATATTGTATTCTTATTTTTTTCATTTTATTTTTTTTTTGATAATTTATATTCTTAATTTTCGAAAATTGTCTCCCCTGGTATTCTCGGGAATAAAAAATTATTGCGCGAAAATATTGGAGTGCATCTTTTTAGAAGAATAAGAATTGCACAAAGTGGCAGTGACACGTGTATGTAAAAAAGAAATTCACGCTCTCAGCAATTTTTCAAACTGGCGGTTAAATATATTTCAGTAGGTGGCTTTTCACAGATGCTCTCCTCTCCTACTCTATTTTTTGAATTTCCTTAATCAGTTAGATTACATCCAACAGTCTTTTTTTTTTCTTCTTCACATATTTTAACACCTGCAGCTTGAATCTTTTTGTTTCTCAACTTAAAAAAAAAATTTTTTATTTCCTTTTTTTCAAAATCAAATTTAAATTTTTCAAATAAAGAATTTTTCCAAGAAAAAAAAATTTTAAAGAAATTTAAATTAGTTATAAACTTATAATAATTTAAATATAAATTAGTTAAATAACTTTATTAATTTAAATTTAAATTAGTTAAAATTAGAATAAAAATAAAAATTTGCATTTATTTTTATCTTTGATAACACTCTCGTCGTAATATAAGGTTTGAAAATTATTCCCACATGTGAATTAATTTATTTATTGTCCATACAAAGGTGGTAATTATTTACTGCAAAGAAAGCTAATTAATAATCTTTTCTCATTTTCATGGAAAAAGAGTGTTTTTGCTTCTGTGTAAGAAAATTATTATTGATTTCGCTTAAAATAAGACGCGCATCAAAGATAATTTTTGTTCGAGGGTGAATAAAACTTGATTATTATTAAATAAATTGGGTTAAATTACATCAGTGTCATGTATCATTAAAGTTTATAATTACTAGTTACTGACTTTTCAAAGGATTCCAAGTAAACTGTATAAATTTATGACGCAACAGCATCAACAAAAAAAACAAACTTTCATAGGGAAAAAACCGAAAAAATTCAAGGATTTTTAAAAATAATTTTAAAAAAATTTTCGAAAAATATATAAAGGAGTTTTTTTGGGGAAAATTTTTTGTCCGTCCGAATTCAAATAAAAAAATAACTAAATGACTAAATAAATAAACAAAAAATAAATAAGTAAATAAATAAAAAACTAACTAACTAAATAATTGAATAAATAATTAAATAAGTAAATAAAAACCTACCTAACTAACTAAATAATTAAATAAATTATTAAATTAGTAAATAAAAAGATAATTAAATAAATGAATAACTAAATAAATAAAAAATAAATAAATAGAAATGCTTTAAAAATTATTTCTCCAGAGTAGAAATTTTCCAAAGGAAGAAAATAAATTTTCTTTTTGGTACAAATACAAATTATTTGTAATTAATAATAAAGGAGGAAAAAAAATTATTTTTCGAATAAAATTGTACAATTCCTTTATTTATTTTTCTATTTTCTGATTGGGAACAAAATTGATAATTATCGAAAAGATTTTCTTTTTTTTTGTTATCAAATGATAAGGAGCAAACAATAAGGATAAATCAAAAGACAAAATGATGTCCTTAGGAAGATTTCTAGGGGGTTGAATATTGCGTGTAGGCGCGCTAGGTAAGTACCGGCAGTTTCCCGGGGCGGTTTTTGAACCAATGGGAGAGCGAGTTGGTGGTCACGTTGGTCCTATAAGATAAGCGTCGCGCATCAACGAATGCCCATTGCATCCATCCTCAGCAGCTCGCAGGATCAGCAAATAAAAAAATAAATAATAATAAACAAAAAAAAAATAATAATACAGAAAAAATAATATCGAAAAAATAATACCAAAAAAATAATACAGAAAAAATAAAACAGTTAAAATAAAACATTAAAAATAATCAAAAACAAAAATAAATAAATAAAGCAGAAAAAATAAAGCAAAAATAATACGAAAAAATAATGCTGAAAAAATAATACAGAAAAATTAATAAAAAAAAAAACTAATACAAAAAGGAATCCAAAGAAATTCAAAAAAGATAATACAAAATAAAAATATAAATAAAAGTGAGTGTCCATCGTTGATTCTTGGAATAAGAAATTTTTTTTCTCTCAAAAGTTTCATCAAAGAAGAAATTCCTCTCACGGCCTTTGAAAAACATCATTGTGTATTTTTACGCGGTAAGAACAAGTTTTATGTTGTTTTCTTCTATTTATTATTAACAACAATCAAAAATATACAGCAGTGTTTTTTTATGATAAATTTTCTCCGCGGATGAGTGACAAGTTTTTGTGATAAAAAAAAGAGAAAAAAAGACGGTTCTTCCCTATGGTTCTTATCAGTTCAATGGCAGTATGGATATACCAATTTCAAGGCTAATATTGTTTAATTGTTAATTGCAAAATTTTATGCAAAAAAAAATTATTATTTTCATTGTAAATCACATTTTTTTGATAATTTTTCATTTTATGACAAATTTTATTAATTTTTAAATTAATATCTATGTAAGTGTGAAAAATTTGTTGCAATTTATTATAAATTAATAACAATATTATTATTACCACTATTATTATTTTTATTACTATTAATTATAATTAATTTTTTTTAAATGTTTTTGTTATGATTAATTTTATTATTTTTAACTTTATTAATAATTATCATTATTGTTACTATTAATTTTGTTATTGTTGTTGTTGTAGTTCTTATTATTATGATTAGGTATTGTTTTAATTTAATTTTAATTTATATTTTATATCAATTTTAATTTTTTTGTTATTATTTTTTTATTAAAAATTTTGAATTTTGAACGGAATTGCAAATATTATTATTTTGATAATGTTTAAAATTAACTAAGAGAACCGAGTGATAAAATAAAAAATTTTAATTTTTGTTATTGTTATTTTAATTTTTTATTATCGGTTTTAATTTTTATAGGAAAGAAATTGTGATTTAATAAAATCTACTTACTGTAAATAATTATTTAATTAACTGTGGAAATAGTTCCTTTTAAAAATTACAAAGTAGTTAAATGAAAAAAAATTTTAATATTATTGTGTAAAAATATGAATTGAAATTAAAAAGAAAATTGAACTACTTTTTTGCTATAAAAAATAGTAAAGTGACCATTTTCTCATTTTTTTCATTTCTGTCAATTTTTCTGAATTTAAAACGGAACATTATAAATAAAAATAAAGATTGAAACATAAATCAAAGTTCGAATACAAAATTTTTTAATTAAACTGTAAATTGAATTTTATTAGAAAAGAATTTTTTTTATCTATTTTTTATGAAGAATATTCTTGCATTCCGATTTTTTGCATCGGTTTAAATTGTTTAAATTGTTTCTTTAATTAAAATAAACAAGTAAATAATTTTATTATTTTCTTTATCACAAACTACAGTCATTTGTAAATTATTGTAAACTATACAAAATTTTCGTTTTTAGCTTAAAAAAAAAGAAAATTCAATGAAAAATTTATAGAGTTCGGAAGAAGAAGCTATAAAACAAAAACCTGTTGATCCAAAAGTTTATCAATTGCCCTGTGAATTTTTTAAAAACTAATAAATTTTAAAGTATGCTTTATGTAGGACTAGGAAAAATGGTTAAAAAAATGCAATAAAAAAAAATATTACAATTTATTCATCAGAACAGGAAATCAAAATTCTTTTACATATTACATACTATGTATATGTCTATTTATAAAAAAAGCAATCTTTTTTTGTTTACTTAATCTCGTCATGAAGAAAAGATATTTTTGTGTGTTTAATTACACTTGGTCACAAATGTTTTATCAGATAATAAGGAAAATTTTCATGATATGACGAAAAATAATTAATACTTCCTCGAGTCATGTCACGTATCTTCCTCTAAATTGTTTAAATTCTTCTCTTTTTTACAACTTTGGATTTGTTCTATTTTTCACCTTATATCTATATTCGGTAATTAAATTTTTATATCCACTTTAAACCTATATGATAGGGATTTCTATAATTATCAGGTTACTTTTCTGATTAATCAATTCTAATTAACTCTAATTAATTTCATGAAAATTTTATCAAAACATTTTACTAATTAATTAAAATTCAATTAATTTCAATTGAAACAAGAAAAAATCTAAAATAAATTAGTTTAATTACAAGAAAACTATAAATTGACAAATTACAAAATGAAAAAATTTATAGAAAAATTACTTTTAAAGTTTTTTAACGTAACGATTTAATGCTAAAAATAATAAATTTATATTAGGATGAAATTTTTGAATTTAGAACAAATTATTTGTTTTTATTAGACTTAATTTATATTCGGCAATTAGAAATGCACGTGTAAAAAAAATTTTTTTCTTTCATCAAATTACGATAAATTATTCTATTAGCATTCAAAATTAAGGAGAAATTATGAAGGACAGTTAATAAGAATAGCTAATTTGCATATAGAGTAAAAAACTAATCGAAATTAAATCCCACATGGTCAAAAGTCAAACGGAAAAAAAAAATTCTTAATTGCTATTGCGATGCATTAAATATAAATTTGGTTTTAATTTGCAAAGTCAGTGACACTTATTTCTAATTTGGTTACACACAAGGACGTGCGTGAATCTAAATTTTCTCTATATCTCAGTTACGTCATATCATAATGATATACTCAATTTAAAAAAATTAACTTTTTTTCTACGCATTCCCAAATATTATTATAACAAAACTTCCACTTTCTAGAAATTTTTTTTTACTTGAAGATTTTGTAAATTTCTTCATTTTGCATCTTAATTTACTACTCGCGCTAAAAAAAAATTTGTGACTTTTATTGAATTCAAAATCCAATTGGTAAGATCTCCAATTGGTTAAAATTTTTAAAAAAATATCGAAAAACAAATGTCAAATTAAATTCAAATTATAATAAAATTATTTTTCGAAACAAGGAAATAATAATATTATTGTAAAATTTACCAAACTATTAGTTTGACTTAAAGGAAATTCTTTCTTTTAAAAGAAAATTGATACATAAAAAAAATGATTACAAAATAATTATTACAAAAAATTATTAAAAAGAATTATTTTAAAAAATGTATATTTAAGAAACAATTTATTATCAAAAGAAATCTTTATCAAAAAAGATTGTTAAAAAAGTCTGTTAGAAAAAAAGAATCAAAAAAAGTTTGTCAGAAACAAATTTGAATCGAAAAAGTTACTATGAGAAAAATTTTAAATACTTCCTCTATGAGGAAGCAAAATGTATTCAAAAATATTTATTAAATAAAAAAAGTATTTAAAAAAGTATTTAAAAAATTTAATTATACATGGAAATTTATATTCAAAAAAATTTGTTAGAACAAAATTTATGTATTAAAAGAATTAATATGAAAAGTACGAAAAAAAATGATATGAAATAAATTATTATAAAAAATTTTTTTTAAAAATCAATCCATTATTAAAAACAATTTTTATCTGCAAAAATTTAAAAGAAAAAATTTTGTATGGAAAAAATTCGTAGAAAAAAAAATGTTATCGAACAAATTTGTATGGGAAAAAAATTTTTATCGAGGAAGTTTTTTTAGTGAAAAAAGTAATATTGACGTAGTAGGAAAATATTATAATTTCGGAGTTTCTTTTTTTATATTTGATCCCTTTGAACAGGTGCAATTTAAGAGGAAATATTTTATAAAATAATGCGCCCTTGGACAAAAGCTCTAAAAGCTTTCGATAATATAATTAACGTAGGGCTTGTTGACAAAACCGACGTGCTTTTTCATTTCTTGGTTTATGTTATATTGATCTCGTTTTATTTTTTCATATTTATGTCACATTTTTTTTAACACATATAACTTTTAGCATATTTTTTTTTAAATTTGTTTAACAAAAAATATTTTTTTAATGTGTAAAGAATTTTTTATAATAATTTATCATTCTTTTTTCCTTAATTTTTAAATTTTTTTCATTATTTATAAATAAATAATGTTTGTCCATTTGCAAGTATCACAAACATTTTCTGACTATTTTTATAACTAACTATTTTTTATAACTAATGTAGCTAACAATTTATTTCTAAATTTATTCCAAGGAAATTTAAAAGTTAATGTTTGAAAATTTGTTTAAAAAAATTTATCAAAATGTAAAAAAATATTTACAAAAAGTTAGATAATAAGAATCACCATTTTTTTAAGAAGAAAAATTTATTTTACTCAAAAACTATTTAAATAATTAAAAAATATTATTTATTTAAATAAATTTTTTTGCCGAGTATAGAAGAAAATGGAAAGTAAAAAAATCGATTAATAAAAAAGAAAAGATCAAAAAATGGAAAAATTCAGTTTTGAATTTTCCAATACGAAAAAAATATTCAAAAAATGATTTTCCTTTTTGAATGACTTTCATTTTAAATTTGAAACAAGTAAGAAATATTATAAAATTTGAATTTAAGAATTTCCAGCACTATGTGGGATAAATATAATTTGTAAAAGTTAAAATGAAAGAAAAATCTGGTTAGAATTGCAGAACTTCATTAAAACTCGTAAAACTGTTTTCATTTTTTTTCCCATCAGTTTTCTTTAAATCAGACTCATGCTTCAGAAAACTTGATATTACTTTCATTAAGCGTGTTATTTTCAAAATAAACAAAAAATTTTTAATAATTTAGTAAATTAGGAAGTCAAAAAAATTTCAAATTTTATAATTAGATTTATTTATTTTTTTTTATTTATTCTATTATTTTTATTAGGTTGTTTCGTTTTTATTCAGTTGTTATTTTTAAAACATTTTATAAATCTTTCTTGTATTTTATATCAGACTAAATAAATATTTATTTATTATTATATATTTTTTTAGTTATTATTTGTAAATATTCATTATCAACTAAACATTTATTTGTTCATTTTAAAACTCTCAGAGGAAAAATAAAATCAGTCACAATTCTTCTCTCGATATACTCAACTTTTGAAAAAGATTTAAATGAAGAACTGGAGAATAAAAAGAAATAATGAGAACTTATAAATAGCAATTTTTCTTCTAACATTTCAATTTTCATTATTTGGGCCAAGCTGGTAATTTCCTTTCTTAAGTCTTCATTCAAAATATCAACGAGAAAAATATCGTCATTTCTGAAGCATAAATTTAATATCACCACCCACCTGTAAGAAATGGAAAAATGTTTTTTTACCTTTCGAATTAAAAAGAATCTACTAATGAAATTGTTAAATATTTCTATTTATTTTTAATACTTTTTATAAAAATTACTGAAACAATTGAATTTTTCTCTTTTGTTAACCAATTTTTAATCATACACTTTATTAGGGGAGAGGGCCCTAAGGTGGTCACCCATCTTTTGAACGACTGTAAATTTCAAATGGAATTATATATAAAGGTCAATAATACGGCGTTTGAAACTTTATCTTATTACCTAACTTCCTATCATAAAGTTTTTTTCATTTCATTAATAAAAAAAAAGTTATGGCACTTTTTAAAAAAAGTTGAAAATTCGACTTTTAAAAAAGTGGCCCCAAGGTGATCACCATACAAAAATTCACTAAAAAAGTTTTAATTTATCATTATTTAATATTGTTTATTTTTACTTAGTTTGCATTTTTGTTTTACTAAATTTGAATTTCGCGCCATTACACTTTTGTAACTGTCCGCCTAGAGGGCATGGAAACTCTCTCACAAACGAGGTGATTATCAGTAACTGCGTTAAGAATTATTCGATTTTAATTATGTTTAGAAAATATTTTCATTGTTAAAAATATTAATAATAAAAATAATAATAAAATTACAAATAAAGAAAGTAAAATAATTTTATTGTTAAAAATATTAATAATAAAAATAATAATTATAATAATATTATTAAAAATAAAGAAAGTAAAAAAATTTCGTTCGACTTGACTCTATTTTTTTAATTTCCAAAATAAAAAATGATTGCCAATAATAATAAATGATAAAATGTTAATAAAATAATTACAATAATAAAAGAAGAGAGGAGAAAATATAATTTCCCAATATATTTTATGAAAGTACATTGTTTGTGCGGACATCGAAATCTTTCATCGTGAATGAAATAGAAATAAAGGAATGTTTTTCTTATTGGGGATTTTGATAAAGAAACAATAATATTAATGACAATATTATTCAAAGTTATAAATAAAATTAATAAAAATAAGAACAACACTCATCGAAATATAACAATGATAATTCTAATGACTTAATTAATCACCAAAAAATTCTTTGAATTATTCAATTCTGAAATATATATTTCTCATCTAAACCGGAAATTCAATACAGAATATTTTTTTCTATTTTCAATAATATGATACAAAATATGTTTTTTTCTGAATTTAATCCTGGGAAATAAAAATTAATTAAATGAAAAATAATATGTATTCTCAATAGGTTATTGTTAATTAAAACTAAAAAGAAAATTACATGTATTGTTTTTTTTGCGTTAATTAAGATTAAAAAAATATTCTAGCCAAGCTTTTTTGATTTTATTTTTATATACAAATTTTTTTGTAATTAAAATTTTGTTATTTACTATTGTTTTAGGTATGTGGCTACTTTTTACAGTAACAATATTGCTGGCACGTGAAGTGGTGGGAAATTTAACAACAGACGAGCATGATGAGGAGAAAAAAGTGGCTAACAAAAATGATTTACACACTTTCTCACAATTACAAACCACGGATTTGAAAATTCCTACGCAAAAGTTGCGCGAAACTGCAAAAACTAATGAGAAAGAAGGTAATTATTTATTGGTTCTTTAATAATTTTATTATTTGAAATATTTTTTTTCAACCATTTACTTTTGGAAATTTTTAATAACAGAATTTTATAACAATAACTTATGCTTTTTATTATATATTATTAACTATTATTTATTTATAACATTGTTATTGTTTTTATTTTTTCATTAATTAATTAATTCGTTCATTCATTCATTTTATTGAAAATGAAATGTTTGTCACTATATTTAAATTCTTTAATTATAAAAATGTTAATTTATATATTTAACAATAAACTTTTCTGTTGTATTGAAAAAAGATATATTTGATATTTTGATTCAAATATTGAATTACTTGTCCATATTAATTATTTATCAGTAAAAAAATATTTATGCTTTATTATTTAAATAAATAATAATTATAAATCAAATTTTTTATTTTTTCACTCAGTCGTCTTAGTTAATTTATATTTTATCAATTATTAATGTGGTTTAATAATATTTATCATATTATTATTAAACATATTAGTAATAATTATATCGGATATTTGGTTTAAAATTTAAATACGGAAATTATTAATTCAAATTTTTTATTTAAATAAAAATTATTTGATTCGTAGATAATTATTTATTTCATAACAATCGCTTGAATATATTTGAGTCGAATTATTTTTTCTCAATAAACATTGAAATTTGAAAATAAAAATAAAAAATTTCTCAATTAGATGCTGAAAAAAGAAGAAAGCGATCGATAGAAGAAATTGTTTCGGATCAAAAAACATTTACGACAGATTTTCAAAAAAGAAAAAGTCCACTGTCTTCATGGTTTTATTGGGCTGATAAAGATGTGAGTTGATAAAAATCCAATTACAAAAATTACAATTGTACAAATTAAATTTTAGGGTTTAATTTTATTTTTTATACTTATGAATTTTTATAAATATTAAAATTATTATTATATAAAATTATTATTTTTATAAATATTTTATAATATAAAAAAAATTATGAATAAATAATATTCGAAAAATTGTTATATTGTTAACTATTGAATTATTTCATAAAATAAAAATAATTGGAAAGAATTTTGAATTCATTGTGCAAAAAATAATAGTAATAAAAATAGTAATGATAGTAATAACAATAAACAGTATGGAATATTAGGATAAAAATAAAAAACTAGAAAATATGAAGACACAAATTACAAAAAATATAAAATATAAAAAAACTAAAAAATACAAAAAGAAATTGAAAAAATATGAAAATGAAAAATATAAAAAATAAATGACAAAAATCACAAGTAGCTATAAGAAATTACTTTCATTATAACAGGTGATTCCAATAAAGGAACGAAGCAAGGAATCAAGTCAGGAGAAGAAAACACCAAGATTCAGTCCTTGGGGTGGAAAGAGGAGTGAATCTTATTTATCGGTTCCTGAAATTCGACAAAACACTCACGTCTTTAACAGTTGGGGTGGTAAGCGTGTTAATGAATTTTCAAAGCTCACAATACCGGAGAGAAGTGGAAAATTATATGCATGGAATAGTGTTGATTCAAATGAAAATCAAGAATTGAAACGAGTTTCAAAAAGTAATACAGAGGGAAAAGTTCCATTCAACAGTTGGGGTGGAAAGAGGGCATTAAATACTGTCGATTATACATCGCCAATTTTACAAGATCTACATCAACTCGAAGGTGAAATTGACTATCGGAAAAGAAAAGGTAATTAATTATTTAAAATAATATTATTTCCTCAATCAATAATATTTTTTCAGTATATTTCACAATTATAATTAAATCGACTGAATTTCAAAAAGGGCTCAACTCCTGAAAACAGTTCGTCATTTCCGCATAATAATTTGATAAGGAAAATGAATCTTTAGGTTTTTCAGAGTAAATCCTTTTTCGAATTTTGCGATTCAATATTATTAACAAAAAATTATTATTGTGAAATAATTTTTAATAACAATTTTTTAACAACAATTTTTTTATACACTTTTTTAATATTATTTATTATTATTATTATTATTATTATTATTATTATTATTATTATTATTATTATTATCATTATTATTATTATTATTTATTTATTTATTATAAGAGGAACATAGTCAGGGTTGGACCTTAGTATTTTTTAATTTTTTACCAATATCCAGCTATTGTAAAATAATTTGTAAAAAATAATCCTTATTTTAACGAATTAAAATTTAAAAAATTTAATTTCTCATTTTTAATTATAAGTGATAAATGAAAAATAGTAAAACATTTCTTTTTTTTAGAAAAATTTTATTACCATTATTAAAAATATTTTAATTTTCACAGATCAATTGGGAAAGTATCAAGAAAAATTGATGAGAAAAATTGATGAAAGAAGAGCTCAAAAATTTGGAAGTTGGGGCGGCAAGAGATTTGTCAATCGGCAGAATGGTGAAAATTTACATTTGAGTGGAGAGGATTTTTTTGAATCACTCAAGTCAAGGTTACCAAAAAAAAGATCGATGCGTGCTTTAAAAAAAAGAGAATTTCAACCGTGGGGTGGCAAACGAAGTCCAGAAGCAATACCCGATAATCCAAATGATACAGAACGTAGACCACCGGCTTCATTTTTTGTTAGAAAAGTCTTCTTCCCTTGGGGGGGATAAAAAAAACAATTTTTTGACTGATTTTCTTTTTATAAATTATCATCCCATAGAAATACTACCAAATTTCCAAACGAAAAAGCTTTCATAAGTTCGTTTTCTTTTTCATATTTTTTTTGAAAAACAAATCTTCCCAATAGAGAAAATGTTTTTAAAAAAATTATTATTAAAAATAATTAGTAGTTAATTAATAATTTTTAATTAATAAGGACTTAATAAGAAATGAATTAATAATTTATTAGTATTAATTTATTAATTATTAATTGGAATTTTAAGAAATTAATTTAAAAAAATATATTAAAATATTTTTTGGTTCAAATAAAAACAAATAAAAATTAAACAGAAAGAAATGGACAATTTTAAAAAATAGTCGATCAGAATTTACATTTTTGTTATTAAGTAAATTTCCTGAATTTTAATACTGAATTGAAAAGAAAATAAATAATACAAATTGTCAACAACAAAAAATTATTGGGAGGATTATGAATTTTTTTCCCTCTTGGAAAAAAAAATTTTATAAATCAAATATAAAAATTTTAATCGAGACTGTGTAGGAAAACTATTATAAAATATGATTACCGAATAATTGTTAAAAATTTTAATTTAATAGGATCATGATAATTAATTTATTTAATAGAATTACTGAATATACGGTAATAATTTATTTAACAAATTCACTCTAAAATAATAATTTATTTAATAGGATCACATAATGCTAATAATAATAATAATAATTTATTTATTATATCTCTCATGTAATATAAATTATGTGAATCATTATATTATACATTTTTATAAAATTAAGTTTAAAAAGTTTAACATCTCTATATGTATAAAAATGAAAAATTTATTATTTAAAACGTTGTGAAAAAATATGAGAAAAATTCTATAAAATTATTGAAAAAAAAAGATACAAAGAAATAAATAATGTTTTAAATATAAAAGAAAAAAATTATGCACTTAATAAATATTTACGCTCTGTTATTACCTGTTTTTATTTATATAAACAAAACAATTTTGTCAATTTATTTTCAATTCCAATCACTTGATATTAATTTCTTGTTTAGTTTTTTTTAGAAAATCAAATAAGGAGTTAAAAAATTCGATTTTTTTGCAATTGTTTAATTTTTATTTTTTCAATTTGCAACTTTTTAATTAGCGATTGTTTAACTAACAAATTTTTTTGCAATTTATTTTGCAATTTTGCCATTTTTTTTGTAATTATTCAGTTTTTCAATATTTTGCAATTTTTCAATATGAAATTTTATCGAAATTGTACAATTTTTAATTGTTTATAATTATTTTTCGTAATTATGCTTCATTTAAATTAAAGAAAAATGAATGACGACTTCTAATACTTACTTTTCGAATTAAAAATTAAAATTTTAAATGAAAAATCTGAATATGAAATTAGTTTTATTATATTTCACTATTAAGTGAATTAAATGAATGACTGCGTTAAAAATATTATAGAGAACGTGATAAAAATTCAAAAAACACTTTTTCTTTTAAATTAAATATTTTTTCTGTAAATTTTTATTGTTTCTCAATTTTTAATTTATTTAATTTTATATTTTACTTAATTCTCTATATATTTTTTGTAGTATAATTAAATTATTTATTTATTTATTTACTTACTAACTTAATTATTTACTTAGTTATTTTTTTTACTTATTTGTTTATTCATTTATTTATTCTTTAAAATTATTTTATTATTATAATATTTGTACATTTATTACACAATTACATTCAAATAATTTAAATCAAAAATCGAAATCATTGAAAATATTTTAATCAAAAAAATATAATAATTTTCTAAATTGTCTATCTACTTTTCTAAAAAAATATTTACAAATACAGTAATTTTTTTTCTTCCTCTAAACTTGAATTTAATTCTAATAACCAATGTTCTGGAATAAATTTTTCTAAATTTTCCGAATAGAATAAACGAATATAGCACAAAAGGTAAAATTGAAACAATTCATTATAACTCAAATCGACAGAATATTTCTTTATAAATTTATCAATTCTCTGAATATCAGAGGAAATAAATTTAAATTCCACGTCACTCGCCGTCATTTTTAAACCAACATTTGTAAAAATAAAAGTATTTCTAGTCACATCATTATTATAATTATCGATATTCATTTTTAAACGTTCCGGTTCACGATGATAAATATTAATTCTATCATTCTCGCTAAATTTATGAACAACATTCAAAAGCGATTTTTTCGATAAACCAAAAAATTCATAATTAAAAATTACACTACGGTTCCTTTCTAAGGAAACGGAGAAATATAGAGTGTCTTTAAAATAATCATGAATGTAATTTGTCAGTTGTTTTATTCCTATTGTCATTTCCTTGTAGTTTATGAATATTTGTAAAAATATCTCGTCACTAATACCGCGAGCATTAAAATTGTAGTATAGCAGAGGAAGGAATACTTCGTTTTTTTCTATTTTATTCACTTTGAGATTAATTATCATTTGCTTATTGATAATGTGGTACATTATTTCACTAGTGTAGAAATTACCCCCAATCTCCTCGGCAATGTACGTCGAATAGACACTACTTAATAATTTTAATTTTAATGAATTTTTAACAATTGTTTCGCACTTATTGTTCAAGTATAAACACCTATCGGTGAGATCAATTGGTGATCCGATGACAAATTTTACCATTTGATAATTTTTCTTCACTTTCGACACTAGAGTCAAAGGTGTTACTTGACGAAAATCTCGTTCTCTGCTTTTCGTTTGTAATTGAGAAGTTTTTGTATTAAAATCGATCGCAGGCATCAAACCACTTCCGGTTAGAAGTCTTAGTTCCAAATCTATTTTCAGTAAAGGAATCGTAAATTTTTTGAAATCGATAATCTTTTTCAAAAATGGTAATAAATTCAAATCGTAAATGTCTAGGAACACTTCTAAAATTGTTGAAATTAAATTTGGCGAATTATTTCTATAGCGAATTTGAAATTCCCTGAGAGGTGTATCCGTACCATCGAAGGTGAAAATTGACAGAAGAAAATTCAACTTTTCCTCGTGATTCCATTTTTTAAAGGGTGAACCATTGCGATAATTTGTGACCGACGAAAAAGTTTCTCTATTCTTGAATTTTAATTGATACATTTTGGCAAAAATATCATTCCACAAGTCCAAGGTTTCTTCGAAACCGTCAACAATTTCTTCTCTGTTGTAAAAGTTGGCGAACATGGTTAGTAAAATTCGGCTCGATTCCTTTTTTGGAGCTAAGAAATTTTCTATTTCCCCAACAATGGATATTGAATGTAAATTAAAATATGTTTCTCGATCGACAAAATTCGAATTTTCTTCCGAACGTATAAACAACATGGTACGATCTAGATGAGATTTTTCTCCATTCGTCAAATAATCGTAGTACTCGACAATATCGATATGATTCTGTAAACCACGACAAAGGGAAACACTTTTTTTTCGTATTCTCCTAATATCGTTTAATGAGAGCAACATTTGTGTGTAATAATTTTCGACAAAACCGAAAATTTGCACACTTTTGTAAAAATCAGATTCAATTTCTACTGATGTTGTTAGGGATGCGTGGTCACTGTCGAAAATTGGTAATTTTATCCAATTTTTTGATTCGATTGTAATCACAAGGGGAATATTGTCGGAGACTGATATCATGGGTACACAATCAGAAATTGTAGTAAATGTTCTTGTGGAATTTTGTTCGTTGGAAAAATCTATTGTGTTGGAGTCATCAATGGGTGATTCGCTGAGACAGTAGAAGTAGAATGTTTCGATTGTTGATGGTGATTCTACTGTTATGGTAAATTTTGTACCTTGTTTAATTATCATATCGAAATGTGTTTTGTAGTGAAAAAAATGATTTTTGTTTGTTTCGATGTAATGACGAACTAAAGGTCTTGCAGTCCGTTTGGTTATCTAAAAATTAATTTTAATTAAAATTTAATTAACGAATTCAATTGAATTGAAATTAATTTAATGGCATCTATTTTAATCAAAATCAACTGAATTTCAATTAATTTAATTTAATCGGTTTAATGTTAAATGCAATAAAACTTAATTGAATTAAATGGAATTTAATTTAACGGAATTGAAATGAATTTAATTAATTGGATAACATTTAATCAAATTGAATTGAATTTAAATTAATTGTGTTTATTTTAATCACATTCCTTTGATTTGAAATTAATATAATCCTATCTAATCGAATTAAATTTAAATTAATTCAACTGAATTGTAGCGAATTGAATAAAATTGAATCGAATTATATCGAATTGAATTGAATCGAATTCAATTCAAATAAATTAAAACAGTTTTAATTGAAATGAATTAAAATTGAATTAATGGCATCTATTTTAATCAAAATAAACTGAATTTCAATTAATTGCATTTAATATAATCGATTTCAATGTAATGAAACTTAATTCAATTAAATGAAATTTAATATAACCGAATTGAAATGAATTTAATTAATTGGGTAAAATTTAATCGATTTGAATTGAATTAAAATTAATTGCATTAAATCAATTGCAATTTAATGGAATACATTGTTAAAGAATAAAATAAAATTGAACTTGAATTAATTGCATCTAAATAATCGATTTGATTAAATTTAAACTAATTGCATTTAACTTTATAAAAATTAAATAAAATTGAAAATAATTGCATTTAATTTGATAACATTCATTTGAATGAAAAGTAATTGCATTTAATTAATTCAAATTATATGTTATTTTAATATACTACATTCAATTAATTGATTTTCAATTTTATCGAATTTAATTTTATTTAATCTATTAAAATTGATTTAAATTTAATCAATTGCATTTAATTTAATAAAATTAAATTGAATTGAAGTAAAAGGCATTTAATTTAATTAAATTCAACTTAACAAATTAAAATTTAATTTAATTTAACGCAAAGTCATATAATTGAATTAAATAAAATTGAACTAAAATCTAAGGAATTTAATTTAATTTCTTTGACTAAAATTGAATTGAATTTAAGTCACAGGCATTTAATTGAATTTAGTTAAATTGCATTAAATGAATTGTATTTAATTGAATAGAATTAAATTGAATTTAAACTAATTGTATTTCATTCAATTCAATTTAATCAAATTTAATTTCATATTGAATTTAATTAATTAACTATTTTAATTAAAAATTAATTAATTCATTCATTAATTTAATTATTTGGATTAAAGAAGAAAATTAGTTAACAAAGTTATTCTTACTTTCGAATTCCATTGCACTGAATTTTCTAAAACTACTCCAGAAATTACTGACAAGAAAAGTGTTAACATTAAAAAGAGCATTTTAAAGAATGAAAATTATTCCCAAAAATTGTGTGAAATTTTATTTCTTTCAATTTTTCTTTTATTTTCTGTTTATAAAGTGTTTACGGTTATTTTTGATCTTTTAAAGAAAATAAATTTGTTATTACAGTGAAATAAAAATATTTTCCATTGCGTTCAGTCTTGTTGTTAAAAATAACAAAAATTTCAAACTGCATGTGCTGCTCATACGTAAGACAAACAATTTTATGCTAATTACAGAAGATATTAAAATATCAGAAATTTTAAAAAATTGGATTCATTTTTCAAAATTTGGTCAAACGATCATTGCAATAATGATGAAATTATTCATATTTTCGAGCATTTTTTTGCTTCTTTGGACAATTTGTTATTCATTTCAGTTTCAGCAGCACGAACAATGGAATTCTGTGGTAAGAGCTGAAAAATTTATTTTCCAAAATTTATGTTTTTATTTTTTGTTTGTTTCTATTTTTCATTTTTTTTAATTTATGTAATTTTTACTGTTTTTAGTATAAAAACTTTAATGTAAAATTAAATAGTGTAATTGAGCTTATAATTGAATAAATTCAGTGGCTTCAATAAAATTTTTATTCCCTTTTCAACAAAATAAATTATTTCAACTATTTATTTATTTTCTAGATTATAAATTATAATTATGCAATTGAACTTATAATTAAATAATGTAATTGAATTTATACTTGAATAGCATAAGTTAAATGTACAATTGAATTTATAAATATAATCGAATAAATTCAGTGGCAGTGGTTAAAAATATAAAAATGTAATTATAATTAAAGAAAAGAATTGAATTTATAATTAAATAGTATAATTAGATTTATAATTAAATTGAATAATCGAATAGTATAATTAAATTTATAATAGAATAAATTTAGTGTCAGTGGTCTATAAATAAATAAATTTTAACCATTTATATTTTTTTAATTTTTTGAATTTATTATACCTATTACTAGTTTCAATTTTTTTAAAATTTCATTTTTACTATTTTTTACTATTTTACTATTTTCAATTTTCTTTAGTTTCTCAATTTTTTTTTAATAATTTTTTTAAATTTCCAATTTGTTTTATTATTTAAAAATTTGTTTCCCAACTACAATTTTTACCAGAACAAAAATTATTTCAGGAAATTCAGAGAACAATAAAACCAATGGTACGCAAATTTGCCCCAACATGGAACAAGCACGTAATTCAAAATCATCTTTTTCATTACAAAACACATTTTGGAATAATTTTGAAAAAAAATTCAGCATTCACTCTAATAATCAACACAACAGAAGCAATTGAAAATTTATATTTTTTCTGTCCTACGGAATTGAAGGAAACCTCTCTAGTCATTGATCTAGCAAACGAAATAAGTTCAAAGAAAATTTTCACAACAAACTACGATTGTGTACCAATGATCTCCGTTTCTTACAATAAACAAGTGGAGATGAAAATAATAACAACAAATTGGGCCAGTTTACCTGTTTTTCACACGAAAGAGATAACCCAACACAATTCAAAAGTTGCAGAAGAGGAATTTTTCAATTCAGTAAAAACTTATGGATTTGTCGAAAATGATTATACACAAATGCTACTATCGTGGAAAGACATCGAGGGTATACGATCAAAAAATTATAGTCTGTATACAGGACTTAGAAATCAAATTGATATTGTGAAGTACTATAATTATTTGATAGGTGCCACTCGTTATGAAGTCGAAGAAGATTCTTATTCTTTTGTTCTAGTTGAGAAGTATCGTTTATTTCTGCGTACGGAAAAATGTGTTGGTACTTGTGATTACGGTGCTTATTTTTCAATATTTTGGATAGTATGTCCAGATGGTATTTTTGAATTTTTGGAATCGAATTCAGCAGCTAGTTGGGGATTATTACACGAGATTGCTCATTATTATGATATTAAGAGTTCGGTTCTTGGTTTTGGCAATACAGTTGATGTTTGGACGAATATTTTTGCGGCATTCTATCAGCATAAGCATCAAATCGGTGTTTATTGGATGAAGGAGAGTGAGAATGATTGGTACAGTACGATAGAAAAATATCAAAAAGGAATTCCATTTGTCAAATGGGAGTACAAGGAACAGTTGCATTTCTTTATGAGTCTGTTTGCTTACGACGGTAGTGACCGATCTTTTCGTGAATTTAACCTTAGGTATTTCTCCTCCAAATATGGTGGCGATTATGATAACATAATTTCGATAATTTTGGAAGTATTCCTAGAAGTACATGATGTTAATTTGTTACCATTTTTAAAGAAGGTGATTAATTTCAACGAATATAGAATTCCGTTGCTGACTCCAGATTTAGAAGTTCTTTTGTTGAACGGACGTGCTGTAATGCCAGTCATTTATTTTGGGCAGAATCCAAAAGAGATGCAACAAAAGAGTCGAGAACGTGATTTAAGGGAGTATTCACCACTGATGTTGATGACGAAATTAAGGAAAAAATACATCCAAGTGGAAATTATGATTGAAGCACCGATTGATTTGACAGATTATTGTTTGTACTTGAACAACCATTGTCACATGATTCACGCCCATGAGATGTATATCGATTTATTGATGGACGTTTATTCGGTATATTTCGCCGAAATTATAAACAATGAACTCTTTATTAGTGACATTAACTACCACGTTGTTGCCCAGGAAATGAAAATTATTGTCACTGTGGATAAAATTAAGAAAAATTCCCTACCGATCATCTACTATCACTTTGATGCACAAGGTATTGAAGATCGTGTATTTCTGCAAACATTCATAAACTATAGAGAGATGACAATAACAATCGTACAATTAACGAACGAAATTCACTTGTTTTTCGCCAAAGAACTCTATTTTCGAATATCTTTGGTTAGAAATGGTTGTGAAATTTTTGGATACGATTTTTATGGTTCGGCAGAAAAGCAACAGAAGAAACTCGTGAATGTTGTGCATAAATTTGAGATTAATGATCAGATAAATATTTATCATCGAGAACCGAATCGGTTGCAGATGTACTTTCCGGATTATGTTAATGAGGCGGCTAATAATACGTTTATTTTTACAAATGTTGGTTTACGTGATGCTAATGATTTAATGGATGTCAATAAGTTTGATATCGAAAGAATTGATGAATTTAATAAAAATTATAATATTGATTTGAGTTATAATTCGTATTATCAGATATTATTGGCTCATTATAGGTATGAATTGATTGCTAATGGCTTAAAGGATTTTGTACCGAAAGATTGGAACACGTAATAAAAAATATTTTGTTTAATATTGCTAAAAGTTAATTGTCTTAATTTGTCATTTAATTTATTTCTAGATTTATTCTTCTTGAATAAATAATTTTTCTCTCTATCGATTTTTGTTATATATTTTGTTAAATATTAATTTCTTCAGATATTAATTTTTTTAGATACTAATTTCTTTAGATATTAATTTTTTGCATATTAATTTTTCAGTAAATTAACTTTTTTAAACATTAACGTTTTTATAGTATATTAATTTTTTTATACATTAACTTTTTTATTTACAGAGATAAATAAATATGTACGATGTAAATATCGAAATAAAAACGTAAATTTTTAATTATCAGTACAAAAAATTGTTTATTTGTTTGTTAAGTGTGCTGAGCATTTGTGTTGACACTCTGCAATCATTTGTCGTTTTAGTTACAAAATGTTTTTAAAAGAAAGAAATAATTTTTTATTTTAAGTACAAAAGAAGAGAAATGCACACACGATAAACTTTACATATTGTGTGATAATTTTATTATTTTTCCATTTTTTTTTTTTTAATAAACAATAAGTTTTTGATTAACTACTGAAGTTAATTTTGAAGCTACAATAAAAAGCGTCTTCGAAACTAATATTTAAAAAAAGAACTTAATTACAAAAATTGGACCCACTTACCTAAAAAATTTAGATTTGTTTATTAGATTTATAATAAAGTTTATAAAATAACTCAAAATAACTTCTGCATTTGGTAACTTAACACTAGTCTTCACACTAAAGCTATATTGATTTCACACTGACTATGGCACAAAGAAGTTTTATAATGTTTTGATATATATATATTTTTTTTGTTAATTAATTTGCAATTTGTCACGATTTTTTAGTGATAAATTCTTATTTCCTTTTGGAAAATTTTAAAAACATCCGAATAGGTTAGGTTCTTACAGAAGACATCTGTAGTACTTCAGCCCAAATTCTTAGTAACCACTAAATTATCTCCACTGGGTATTGTAGAAATTCCTCATAATTCTAGCTTGTTACCTTTTGTAGAAATTGAAGAAAACTTGTTGGTCGTACCTTCCTTGGGTATTGTAGAAAAACCAATAAATACCTTTAGAAGAAATTGTAGAAATCATTGCAAAATTGTTCAAAAAATTTAAAAATTAAAAAAATTTTTAATCTTTAACAAATAGGAAATTATTATTAATTAACAGTGAATAAAATAAATAAATAAAAAATAATAGAAAACATACCTACAGTTAATATTTTAATTCCTGATAATAATTAAAAACAATACTCTTCGGCCATACTAATGATTCAAGTAATTAAAATAATTAAGTAAATAAAAAAGAAATTAACTATAAAAAAATTAATTAACAATTTATTTCTTTAAATTGTACACTTTAAGTACATGAATATTTAAATAAATAAAAGAAGTTAAATTAATTTAATAAATGAGTAAAAAATTGATAACAATAAAATTAACAATGACGATCGTTATTATTAATTATTTCATAACAATGTTATATGAACAGAAAATTATTCAATTGATTATAATTTATTTATTTTATATTTATAATAAATGAATAAAAAAGGAGAATGGTAATAAAATTAATTATATCAATTTCTGATAGTAATTATTATTTAATAATTTCCGATTAAAATTGTGATACAAAGAAATTTTCTTTATTATTTCTCAATTTGGAAAAGTTATTATGATTTTTATTAATTTTTGCATTATTTATAAATATCACTAAAAGAAATGCGCGTAAAAATAAATTTTTTTAATCAGAGGATTGATATTTTTACATCTTGTTTCGTATTAATTTTTAACCAAGTGATAAATTCATTGATTATATTATATTATTTTTTTAATATTGTTATAAATCTTTGAAAATCCAAAATGCAAGTATTTTAATTTTTAATCCAATCGTTTTGTGGTTTCACTATTTTCTAATAATGACTGTTTTGTAATTTTCCTATTTTTCCAAAAAAAAAAATTTGCTGAAATAGGGCTTCAGCAAGGGCGAAGGTAGTTTTTCTAGTTTAAAAAATTATTAAGCTAATTTATTAAATTTATCCATTTTATTGAATTCTATTTTGTGAAATTCTATTTTGTAAAATTCTATTTTGTTATACATGAAATAGGGCTTTATCAGGGGCCAAAATAGTTTTTCTAATTTTAAATCTTTTTAGTTTTTAGTTAATTTATTAATTTAATTTTCTTTAGTTTAGAAAATTGAATATTTTGAAATAATTCCCATTATGTAAATTCTTATTTTAATGCAGATGACATTGGGCTCTAGCTAGGTCTCAACTAGTTCTTCTCGTTTCACAAATAGATGTTTTTTAATCCAATTATTTCAAAAGATTAGTATTTCGTAATCATTTCTATTCTGTAATAGCTCCCATTTTGTAATACTTCCTATTTTGTATAAATTAATTTTATTTATCATTTAAAATAATTTTGACAAGGGCCTACCAAGTTTTCCTAGTTTAGGAATGCAAGCAGTCTAATCGTATTGTTTTTTTTCTAATTTAATTTATTTATTAAACAATTCAATGGTACTTTGAAATAATTTCTTTTTATTTTTATTTATAAGTAATAAATTTAATAAGGACTTTTAAATTTAGTAAGGATTTAGTAAGGAATAAAATACTTTTTCTAATTTCTAGCAAAGGCTTTCTTAGTTTTATAATAAGGTTCCAGCAGGGGCCAAACTAGTTTTTCTAGTTTTAAATTTTCAGTACGTAAATCCAATATTTTTTGTAAATTATGCATTTTCTACAATTTCTTCCTTTTCTTGGAGTAATAGGGCTTAAGCAGGGGTCTATCTAGTTTTCCTAGTTTTTATCAGGTTATTTATAAAAAACTTCTATTTTAAACTTTAAAGAGAACAAAGAGATACAAGTTCCACTCGAGAAATTTAAATTTCTACTGTAATTATTTATATTTACTGATTAATATTTTTTTCTAGATTATAAATCTTTCTAAACTTTTTTTATGATTTTTTTTTTAAATTTTATAACCAAAAGCGATAAAAAAGTAATTTTAGTATAATAAATTATCTATTACTCTATTTATTCCCTTAACTATGATAAATTGTATCTTTAATATAATATTTACATTAATGTAAACGTTTTTCTAAAAAATACCTTCCATTTAAATTTGAAAAATTCAAATATCTTTCTTCATTAGGAAAAAAGATATTAAAAAAAAAATAATAAATTGAGCTTTCGAATAGTGACTTTGTTCGACGGAGGGTGGCAGTGGTGTAGTGCTTCGGGAAGAAACAACCCTCAGTGTTATGCTCGCCGCGAACGTTTTCACACAGTGTATATTAAATAGTTTCTCGAGGCGGGTTCCCTCCCCTCCCCCTGAAAAAAAATAGTGATTGTTAATTTTTATTTTTCACCTCAATTTTTTATTTTCAAAAAAATATTCAGTGACTTTTTTCATTAACTTTCTTTTTTTATAAATAATTTTTTTTTTGTTATTGTTATTGTTATTACTGTTATTTCGTATTGTTTTCTCGTATTGTGGCTGTCGACAAATTCTGTAAGTTTCATTAGTATATATTTTCCTTCTTTGATTGCCTGCCAAACTCTCCTTGAGCTAAACACTTGAAATTATTTCGGCATATAATTGCGACAATGGCATTGTGTCTAAAAATTCAAATCCGGCTATGTGCCATCTTTTTTTCTATTTTCCTTTGTTTTTAGTGTTTTTTTTTTTTGTTAAATTTTCCAAATTTACGGTTTTAGTTTTTAAAAAATAAATTAAAAATTGTAAAATAATTTTTTTTCTTTGCAGAAACATATTTTTTCCTATTTTCTTTTCTTTTAATTCAAAAAGTTTTCTTTGATTTCAAAAATAATTTTTTTTTTGAAAATAGTATTGAAAATTAATTTTCCCATTTGAAGAAGAAAATTAATAGCAAAGAGATCGGCATCGACCAACCTTAAAAGAAAAAAAAAAAGTTGAACCACACCTGAAAGCTCGACTTTCATAATTTAGTTCAATCTCGTTAAAGTCACTGTTCCAAATTTACTCAATTTTCGCAGTGAAATTCGATAAATTACTACTGTTTTCCGAGACAATTGAATTATTCTGCATATTCAGAACAATCGAAACTTATTAATAACGAGAAAATGCCGTCTCAATAAATATAGAAAATAAACCGAGAGAAATTAATTTCCACTTATTTCAATCTACTTGAGAAACTTAAAAGTACATGGAAGGAAAATTATATTAAATTTTGTAAAAGTATTTCACAATTTGGGGGAAAAATGCGACAAAGCGAAATTTTGATATAAAAAATACTAAACAGTGAAAGGAATAATATAAAATTTAGAACAATTATATCAAATATCAAGAATTTTAAATTCACTAAATTTCATATTATTTTTTTCACTGTTTAGTATTTTCTATGTCAAAATTTCGGTTTGTTGCACTTTTTCCCCAAATTGTAAATACTTTTACAAAATATATAATAATATATGTAATATATTTTCTCTCCGTGTAACTTTAAATTATTAAATTAATTTCCTACCTGTTTCTTTGCATTCTTTTCGAATTTCGACCAGTGACACAAAATCACTGAAGTGTAAATAAAATTTTCCGAAATAGAATTTTTTTTTTCAAAAATGAGAAAATTGTAGTTTTTAGTAAAAAACTTTTTTCTAAAGTTTGACAGTGTTTTTTTTTCATATTTATTTTGAAATTGGTCGTGCATGCGTAAAATTGTTTCCTTGACATCAAATATTATATACTATGTTTATATATAACAAAAACCATTGTCTATTTATAGAAATTCATTATACAACTTGCATAAAGATTAATTATTATTCATAAACTATCTTTGATAATAATTTAAAGACGCAAAATATACCAGAAATGAACAAAACAAATTAAATTTCCCTCCCATTTTAATACGTGAATAAATTGTGTACAATTTTTACCAATTTTTCAATTTTTAATATAATTTATTCAATATATATTAATATTTATATAATTTATTCTGTAGGGGTTATTTTCTCCTTTGCTGGTGCGTCAATAACAATTACAAAAAATGAGAATTTTTTTTTCAAATTCATATTTCTTTAAAATATTTATCATGTATTTTTAATCTCGCAATGTAGATGAAAATTATGAAGTTTAACATTTATTTCCTCATATGTTCCACGAAAAAGACATACATAAAATATTCGAAACAGTTTTAAAATTGTGCCAAGTGTACATTTTCTTTAATATATGCTAATTCTAGTTGAAGATCGTAACCTAGTTTTTAGTAAAACACATTACAAAAATGAATTTATTATTATACATTATATATATATGTTTAAAAAAAAGAATGAACAGAAAAAAGGCAAAATTTTCATTTTTCAACTAATGGCTTAAAAGCACAATGTTATTTGGGATAATGTTTAATATACCAAAGTACCTACATTTGGATATTTTAATTCTCGATAAATTTTTTTAATCTATTCAAGAATTTTTGCTTCTAAAACAATTTATTCATTACTATAAATTCGAAAACTTTTTACTAACAATATTTATGTTTTATTACTATGAACAATAAATATATTTAATTTATTCTATTAATTATTTATTTAAAAAATTCCTTTTTTATTTAATATTTATTTTTCTTAATTTTCTTCGTCACTCATATTTCTCTGTATGTGTGTGTGTGTGAGAGAATTGAAAATTATTCATGATTCCTGAGGTTTTATTATTAGTTTATACTGAAATATTTATTTATATATATATATATCTCCTAATTCTCGAGAGGGTTTTGTCCTCACACAACGAGACATTCATGAGACAACTATACAGTGAATAGAATTAGGAGGTTTTCCGCTCTTTGGTCAATAGTTTTACCACCCTCCTTCCAGGGAATACGAAATTCCTTTTTCGCATTGTGAAAATAATGAAAATTACTGAATTTGAATTAATTTTTCAGCTAAAATATATTTTTATTATTGTCAATTATTATTATTCTGAAAAGTATATGGCTATTTATTACTATTATTATTTGTATTGTTAACAAAATTTAATATTATTACTATTTTTATTATCCATTATATTTATTATTATTCCATTTTTGGTATTATTATTATTATTATTATTATTATTATTATTATTATTATTATTATTATTATTATTATTATTATTATTATTATTATTATTATTATTATTATTATTACGCATCTATATTTATTTTCAATTAGTTTGCTTTTTGCTTTTGAATTAGTAAATTTTACTAATAAATTAGTACAAATTACTATTAGAAAAATTTGTTATTTAGTAATAATATATTTTTATAACACTTAAAAATAAATAATTTATTTCTTTACTAATAAAATAGTAGAAATTACTATTTTGTAGTAAAATTTACTACGTCGAAAGCAAAAAGTCAGTTACCAAAATTCAAATTAGTAAACATTTTTACTAATTTAAATTTAGAAATAATTTTTTTTTATTATAATAGTTGTTGGTTGTTGTGATTATTAATTTTTTATTCATATTATCAATTATATTTATTATTTTGTTATTGATTTGATATATAAATTAATTGAATTGACTTTCATGAAGAAATTTTTTTTGTATCATGAACAAATTTTTCTTATTGATTTTTTTTTGTTTTTTTTTGTTTGACAAATTAATTATCGAAATTAGATTTTTAGTGTTGATATAAAATTCGTTTTTAGGAAATTAAAGGGTTAGATTAAAAATGGTATGCGAGCAGATAAAACTCATTCAGCGGTTCGGTTAATCGACTTTATATCCGGTATTCATGAACTGTTCCTTATCTTCGAACAAGTTACCAAAGTTTTAGAAATTTAGTAATTAGACTATTCATAACTGTCACATCCATTATATACGACGTTAATCCCCATGATGGCAAAGTTTTAAAAAATTTTCCATTAAATCCACTTTTTTAATATAAGCGCTTGAAAATAAAGTTAGAATTATCTAAGGACGAAAGTGTTTTTAAAGAAGGAATTATTATTTTTATTGGCAAATTATTAATTTATTATTATTATTATTATTATTAATAATTGAATTATTTTCTCTACATAATTTAAGCCAAATTGATTCAAAAATTTAAATATGTATTAACTAATCCCTTATTATCATTATTTTTTCACAATTATTAAAAAAAAAGATCGGAAAATAAAAAATATTCAAAATTGGATAAAATTTTTTCAACTCCGCATATTTCATTTCACTGAAAATTAATTATGCCCTTTTAAGGTCACAATATGTTACCTCGTACGTGATATTAATTTCATCTTCTATATTGTTTTATCAACCCACATCGTATAAACATTTTTTTTTTAACTTTTAAATTATATGCAAAGCATGTTGCCTATAATAATGTGTCTGTTCAGGGAAAAATAATTTCACTACTAAATTTTCTATTATATATGTAATTTTTTTTTCTTGTTCGGGTACATTGTTTATTTTCTTATTTTAGCATCAGATGAGGTATTTTACAAAAAAAAAAAAAAAAATGCAAAAAAAATGCAAAAAAATTCAGGATTAAAATGATAAAATTTAGTACATATGAAACAAGTGTTGGGGGAGGGGAAAATACTTTGAACAGTAAATGTGACGACTTTATCTGCTAAATTAGAAATTTTACCTCTCTTGACAATTCAACTTTATTACACAGCGAAGAATACAATTTGGTTGTAAAACTACTTTTTCCAATTTAAAATGTAATGTTTATCCTCCACTATACGATCTAACTTTACCAATACTTAAAAATAAATTTCTCTCTCTAGTTGTAAAATAACAGTTTTCTTTGGTAGGGAAATTATTTCTTATCAAAATAGATAAAATAAAATATTATTATTTTAGATTTAAATATTATTATTACTATTATTATTATTACTGTTACTATTATTATTATTATTATTATTATTATTATTATTATTATTATTATTATTATTATTATTATTATTATTATTATTATTACTACTGTTATTGTTATTATTGTTACTGTTATTTATAATAATACTATTGAAAATTAATTGAAATATTTAATAGAAATTTATGTTTTCTCGTTCTGGATCAATGTCGTTTGTGAAAGGATTTAATAGTGAATCGCCTTTCAGCAGCGTGAAAACGATGTTATCAGTTTGGTAATTAGCGATGACATGCGCCTACATTACAATTAATTATTCGATAGCAATTGCGATTATGTTTTGAAAAGCCGCTTAAAAAGCCTAAACCTCATTTGTTGCTGGACAAAATAACCTTGCAAATTTAGTGTAATTGCATTCAATTGTGACTTGTAAAATGTCAAGGTCAAGAAAAATCACTTAATTCATCTAATTACAATTACGATTAATATATACATATATACAATTTAAATATTCAATTTAGTTGTCATAATTCATTATTTTTTTGACAACATTAAATTATACCAACTGTATATATAATTTAAGAATTATTTCGCAAAAAAGAAAAAGTTTACAATGGGAAAAAATATAATTTGTGCAAAAATTTTTTTTTTTTACTTGTAATTATTAGTGTAAAAAAATAATTTT